TCTCCTTAAATGCAAATATATATATATATATATATTAAATTTGTTTAAAATATTTGTCTTTTTGTATCCTACACTAAGTCTCAAAATAGATGATGGAACGAAAGAAGTATTTATTATACATACCTTGTGAAAAAGATTTCGTTTTTTCTTTTTTCTTTTTTTTCTTTTTTTCACAAAAAACAATGATACGGTCTCCAAACACTGAGACCGAATGAAGAGTTGAAGGACACCTCCACTGTCTCTATAGCCTGATGCATTCAAATAAAACTCACATGGATCCCACTCATATATATTAGACTGTGGAAGTTGTTTGATTCTCTATTTGGTAGTATTCAAAGTTCGTGAAAGTTTATAATATTTTGGAAGTATGTATCTATGAGGTTTTCAGTCATTGGATATGGTGATGGGACTCATCTTATGGATGACTCAATGGTTGAGAGATTCCGGGGTACTATACCCCGATGATATTGTAGACTTTTTCTCCAGGTTCAAAGGTAAAAAAAAAAAAAAAAAAAAAAAGAAAGAAAGAAAGAAAGACAACCATAGTAGAGAGACTTCACAAATGATTGTATCACAAATTAACTGGAATGATGTGGCCAATGATATAACAGGTTGTATGCTGTCCAAGTAATTTATTTGAGAGAACTTATGATAGAATGGAGAGAAAAAATAGAAAAGGTAAGTGTCATTGTAGAATTCAAATCCCAATTCAACATAATTTAATTATATTAATTCAATTTCTGCGTCGTTTGAAACATTTTTTCTCTAATTTTCATCTTTACAGAATTCAAATCTCAACATAATTTAATAACATGAATCCAATTTGTGATAAAATCTTTGTTTTAAACATCATTTCTCTTAAATCCTCACGAAACTATAATTTTCTTTTTATCCATAACTTTTGTGACCTACGTTTGTGGAATAAGAACCCTAATTTTCTCAGCCATCCATCGTGTGAATAATTTACATTAACACAAAATCACTTCTTATAATTGTAGAATTTGAGGAAGAGAACACATTTGTAATTAAAGAGAGACCGGGTACAAATAGAACATGAAAACTTTTTAGAAACAAATATATATATATATATATATTAAATAAAATATTACACAAACGTATCAATTATGAGGAGCCCAAGGCCCCAAGCCTGAATTTGATTGTGATTGATGGCATGTTTTCTTCAGCAGCAACTAAATGGGCTGGCCCAAGGATATAATGCAAAGATATCCATTTACAAGAAAAAAAAATTTAAGCTCTTTATATGACACTTTTTTGGAACATAATTAATGGAAAGAAAAAAGAAAAAAAAAAAAAAAAAAAAAAGAAGAAATTATTTTACTTTAATTTTAAAGTGTTGCCTTTATCAAAATTGTATTGAGTTTAGTAAAAGGAAATACTAATATTAAAGAGTTGTACTAGTTACTTTAATAATTTTAAATGTTTTGTTAGTCTAGTTAAATGAGCATTTGATTGTTTAGGAAAATCAAGAAAGCCATTAAATAGCTATTTGGAAACAAAAAAGATTACTCCAATATTGTCTTTCTTGGTATGAATAAAAAAAAATCACATTATCAACGAACCAATGGCCTAACAATATCAGACTCTTACTTCTCAAAAGGGGGCTAGAGTTTAAGCTTAGTGGAGGCATGTGTGCGTGAACCCAACTAAGAAAAAAAAGAAAAAAAGAAAAGGGAGCCATGATTTTTCACATTTGTTTATTTGTTTTGGTTTTATGCCTTGCGTTAGAGATGTCGGAAGTCAATTTCGGATGGAAAGTGAAATGAGTATATATGGGTGAATATATTGAATCAGAAGGTAAACATCCAATCTTCCGTTACAGTTCCTATCAAAATAGCAAGATATGAATTCATAATGATAATGTTAATTCCGACACCTAACACAGGGAAAATGCATGTGACCGATAACACTTCCACGTGAAACCATCACCGAGTTGGGATGTTATGGCAAGGCATGAATTCATGATGAGAACATTAATTCCGACGCAGTTTGTTAAAAAAAAAAAAAAACAGAAAAAAAAAAGGTTAGAAGTTGTGGCATTGATGGTGACAAAACAGTAAACATTGAAAAGTATTACGGGACCATGGTTTTTCACATTTGTTTGTTGTTGTGTTTTGAGTCCCCACCTATGCAAATGGCATCTGTAGCAAAGAGAGATATTAACGTTGGGATGGTAACAGCAGTTACGGCGGGATGGTGATTGTTATATGGTTTTCTATGGCTATGGCTGTAGCTTTCTTCAAGTACCGACAATTGTGGCCCAAAAATGTTTTTCAGTCTCTCACACATTCTGTCGTGGTCGTGTCGAACATATTATGGAAATGTGTGGAACACGATCGGACACGTGTTCGGTATAAGTAAAATTGTCTTTTAACTTTTTAATTTTGCTTAATTAGACATGGTATGGACATGTCTCAAACTCGCACGTGATTAAGTAATTTTGTAATTATTATTTCTAAAATTGAATGCTAATGTCATTTTAGGGGTTGAATAGGAAAATGCATAAAGTTAACAAAAACAATATTCATTCGTCTAATCTCAAAGTTTAAATTGGGATTTAAAAAAAAAAAAAAAAAAAAAAATGGGATTTTAGATATAGTTGGTAGACATAAATGAAATGCTCCTCTCAAAGTTTCACATAGCTATCAACTGAACTGTATATTTAAACATGTCATGTGTGAAAATAGTGCACATTTTGTTGTTGACATGTGGAATATGTTGTTGAAATGTGTGGGATACAATCGAACACGATTTCAACGAAGTTAAAATTGTCTTTAATTTTTTAATTTCTTGTTTTATAATTCGACATGGTAAGAACACGTCAAAAACACTTCCACAGAGTAATTTTACAACTATTTTTTACAAAAAAAAAATGGAATACTGAAGTAATTTTAGAACATATTATGGGTTGATTAAAACATGTGTTCGGTACAGTTAAAATTGTTTTCTTTTTCCTTGATGGGACACTGCAAGGCCATGTCTGAAATACTTTCAAGATGCGACGTAGTAATTCTGCAATTATTTTTTGACGAATGGAGTTCTAATGTAATATTAGAAAAGATTATGGGTTGGTGTTTATGTAGATAAAATCAGCAAAATCATTTTTATTCATATTATATATATATATATATGTGTGTGTGTGTGTGTGTGTATTTGACATATTCCTGACTTAAATCACACAATCCTTCTCAATAGATGTAGATCTCACGCTCCGAGCGTACTCTTGTTCAAATTATCACTATTTATGACTTAATTTTGTTGTTTTTGCGCTTTCGCTTTCGAATTTGTTCTCGCTCTCGCTCTCGCGCTTTATTTGACTTAGTCCTGACATGTTCGTGTCTTATTTTTATTATATTTATTATAGGGTAAAGTGCATTAAACCCCCTTGAACTATTGGTCATTTGCAAGAAACCCTCCTGAATTACAAAAAACCCCCCTGAACTATGATTTTGTTGTAATTTACCCTCTTGAATTATTAGTTATTTGCAAGAAACCTCCATGAACTACAAAAAACCCCCCTGAACTATGATTTTGTTGCAATTTACCCCCCTGAACTATGATTTTGTTGCAATTTACCCCCATAACATCAGCTTCCGGCACCAAAATTTTTGAAAGACCAGTTTACCCTTATAACACACTACGTCGTTTTAACTTATACACTTATTACTTTTTTTTTTTTTTTTTTGTTTTTTTTTTGCCAAAAGATGTTTTTCACCGAACACAACCCAAAACAGAGAGCTAGAGAGAGAGAGAGAAGAGACCAAATAAATTCGAGGTTGGTGGGATGGCTCGATCTCTGATGATGGCGGCTTATGCGCGGAGGACTCGGTTGTGATGAGAGCTCGGTTGACTCGGCCGTGAATTGTGGAGGCGGTGGCGAGCTCAAAGGGGCTCGGCGGTGAACTACGGACGGTTGTGTGCTCGAAACACGGACGGTGGTGTGCTCGGCTATGGAGATGGCCGAGTGGGCCGGCGAGATTAGAATGGACAGTGGAATGGACTGGCGAGCAAGGTGAGTTGAATGGCGGGCAAGGCGGTGACAGCGATGTGCTGACACAACGGTGCAGAGAAGTGCGATATATATGGCCGACAGATCTGGCGGGTGGTGCAACGGCTATGATGGAGATATGACAGGAGACCCACCGATCCCAGCAACAAATTCCTCGGCTTCATCGTCCCTTTCAGTCAATCAATTCGCACGGATGGGGTAAACTGCAAAAATATATATAGTTCAGGGGTTTCTTGCACATACCCAAATAGTTCAGGGGAGTTTTTTGCAACTTTTATAGTTCAAGGGGGCTTCTTGCACATACCCCAATAGTTCAGGGGTTTTTTTTACAACTTTTATAGTTCAGGGGAATTTCTTACACATACCCTAATAGTTCAGGGGGTTTAATGCACTTTACCCTTTATTATATTCTATAACAATCACCAGCCCTAGCACCCTCCATTCTAATGGTTGGTACAACCATATGAGGAGTGGTTTTGAAAGCAAATAAAAGCTACAAGTAATGCAATGTTTGGTTGACACTTGTTTCTTTCACACCATTGCTGGTTTAATTACCAACCAGAAATCTTAAAAAATGATCTACAAGTTTTAATGGCCTCATACGATAAGAGAGTAGTTAAAAATCAATATGGTTAGAAAGAATTTGATTGCTTGTATTTATCAAAACATGAATACCACTAAATGCTACAGCAATTAGTGGCCCAACAAGATGGTGGTAGTAGTTAACATATCAATACTCGAAAGAAATGCAGTCATAATTCGTAAAGTTTGAGCCTATTGCTTGGTAATAATTAATACTCAAATTTACAGGCAAGAGGATGCAATCAAGCATCTATACGGACAGAAAACATGAGTACGACACCTTATGAATAAGACCATACATCAAATATCAGGAAAAAAAAATTGGTAGGTAGGAATACGTCAGAGAATAATAATATAATCTATTGTTATAATAATAATAATTTTTGCTCATATTATCACATTATTATGGATGTAATCACTAATTTGGAGCTTAGAGATGGATACGAGTTGGTTTAGTTTTATATCCTCGTTTTAGGATATATTTTCGTGTCCAACTAATATATATATAAATTTTAGTACACTTCTAACCATGTCAAACACGTGTCTACTATATCTTACGCTAACCATTTTGTACAAGTAAAAACTAAAAATTAGATCTGCGTCCAATGTTCGGAAGTTAACTGAATGATGATCCCTTCACGGGATGTACCGGTAGCTTTCCGGACTTGGAACCACCACTGTTGGCCTTGTTAACCGAATGGTTATCCCTTCATGGGATGTACCGGTAGCTTTCCAAACTCGGAACCACCACTTTTGGCCTTGTTAACTGAATGGTTATCCCTTCATGGGATGTACCGATAGCTTTCCAGGAACCACCACTTTTTGCCTCACTCTTCATATTCATGTCTATTTTTGGCTCCCACTCTGAGTGCCCCTCACAGAATTGATCTCGACAGAGTAATGGGCTTTATTTGCTCAACAAATAATTAATTTGAAACAAAATCTGTTGGGAACTGATCTGCCCAATAGTTCAATCCAAGTCCAGCCCACACAGAATGAGCCTTGAGAACCCAATTATCCGGCCCAATTCTTGACTTTGACTGTCTACAAAGTCACAGACATATTCAAGGTTGTCAAATTCACATCATCAGAAAATAATCTTCAATGTTCAAACACAGTCCAGCAACCCCATTTATGAAAGAAGCCTTCCGCTCTGTACATTATTCTGAAATTTACCACAGTAAGATTTTTTTTTTCGCAGACTTACTTATTTTGCACGAAAACAAATACTTTAAAAAACAAAATTTTCTCCAATTCCAAAGGACCCCAATTTCATGTTACCGAACGTAACTTTCAAGAAATTGTTACATAAAAGGAGGATCAATGCATTCATATTTGAAGCTCGAGAAGGAAAATGATGAATAGCAGTGAACTATCATTAATTTATTGCCATCTTGAAAGTTGAGCAATGATCAATGAATTCATCAGAAGGAAGAAAGCCCGGCAATTTGTCGAAACTTCTCGTAAGACACCCAGAACACAAATTGCCAAGGGCCAAGTCTTGCCCATGTAGGAAAGAAACCCTTCCACAGTGCTCTTAACCCTTCGACTCTAACAGTCTTCACTAGACAATCATAAGAGTTCCTATATTTAACGTTACCTTCATCGCTCACCATCTGATTCATCATTCTCGTCTTCACCACATCAGCCGGACAACTCAAAGCAGTTGCAGAAAGACCTGACATGATAGAGGCCAATGTGTGGGCATAAATATTGTCAGAAGATATCTTATTTTGGATAATAAAACGTTTGGCATGATCATAGCAAGCTAATTCTCCCATGTTCACTAAAAATGCTCTTTGAACATTTGGTAAAACCCCTTTATAGAGTCCTCCAAAGCCTTCTGTGCCAATGATCTTCTTTAAAGCATCGAGAGCCCCAGAGTACCTAGGTTGGAGGCCTTGGCTCACCAAACGACCATCTGCTTGCATCCTGACCTTCACAAGATCAGCAGGGCTCACGACTACCTGTACTATTAGGGGGAAAGCACATAATTATGATACTTTCTGAACCAAAATATAATAGCAAAGAGAAAAACTTATAAAGCATGGGAAAAAAAAAAAAAAATCATTTGAACAAGAACTTTCAAGGAAAAATGATCATTGTGCTAGTAAACTGATATTTGATTTCATAAATTATTTTAATGTTGTATCAAATCCAATATGGCAAATGCAATGGAACAGTTTGCAGCAAAAAAGCTGCTACCTTTAAAGATGCTCGTAGCTGTATAGTTTCAAACTCAACAACAAGAGTAAAAACAACAAGAGTAAAAAAGTATTTAAATTTCACAAGCCTAAAGAAGAAAGGAAATAGAAGGAAAAATAGTGACTCCTTCATAAATATTACTATCTTTTGCAGGGTAATAAAATTGCTTATTTTCCATGAAAAATTAAAGAACTGTTGGCTTCACTCGTTCAAGTTTCCTACTACCCATAGATTATCCTTGTAGAACAATTAAAACAGCTATTGTTAGCTTCCCACCTATGTGAGTCAGACCGAAAGCGAAGCAAGTAGATAGATTCTTTTTGGCCATGCACTGAAGCGAATTACTTCTATGAACACTAACAGAGGAATAAAAAAGAAAAAAGGAGGTTTATCAGAATTTCATGTCTGAATTTGCAATCCACTGACACAATTTATGAATGTGTAATGCCAATTACATAGCTCACATTGGGTCTCCAATGATCTGTGTCTCATTCAATAAAGATGCAACTAACTCAAATTGACCCACTTAATTGTGAAAAATATCATCATTTAGTGCATGTTGTTAAACAAATGAAGCTGATTGTAAGCACATGATCCCGACACTATATGAAGCTAGTTCAAATCATTTGTCATTAAAATGACCAAGCTGGAGGCTGGTGCTCAAGTCTAAAGCTAGATTACGCAGTAAGCCAAGCATGAGTCTATTCAACTCATTAGGCTCAAGAATACTTGAGGCAGGCATCACATAATCGTAAGAAATGTTAAGAAAGAAAAGCTGTACAAGTTAGTTGGCAACTAAATATCACCACTAAAGATATGGTGAAGAATTGATTAAGCTAAGTCATTCCCACTTTTCTGCACTAATGAATGACAATGTATACAATTTTCATAGAATAATAAATGTTCGATCAATATCTTAACAAACTCATTTAGGCCCGCGAACAAACTCAACTTCTTCTCCAGGCATTAACAGCCAACATTGAATGTACCTATTGAGGTTAGTGACAAAGATGGCTCATAACAAGTAAAACTAACGAAGATTTAGCTGCCTAACCAATGGCTCAAAACAGTTTGTTATCCCCCATAATTTGAAAAGTGGCACAATTTTATTAAAACTTGGTGCACTAATAAGGGATACCAAAAAAGCATTTCTTATTCCTTCCTTTAATAATCCATCTAAGAAGAAAAAAAGATAACTTAAATAAAACCCGAAAAAAGAGTTTTGGGAGAGAGAAAAGAGAAAAGTAAAACCCATGGAACATCAAGGGATCACTGTGAACACGAACAGCTGGGGATATGCTCAGACAAGGCAACCGTCATCTTTTTAACATATGTATCATCTGCTCTTCAATTGAAAAAAGGCTCTCACATTCAGAGTGAAATTTTGCAATTTCATCTAGGTAACATAAACAAGAATACAATCATCGCAAAGGGCCAGTGATATTTCATTTCACAAATTGCTCTGTAAAAACATGACAATCCATAATTCCATATTGTGGTAACATTGGTTCCACCAATCCTCATCTTACCCACTAGGATATATCTACTGGTTTTGGTTCAAGCTGAGCCCACAATCCACTTGGATATTTGTTTTGCTTCCTACTAGTTGGAGCCTAGAGCTGAAAACAATAGGAAACATAATAAAATCTCTCACTCTGTGGCTACCCGATGCTTGTCAAGTGTATCAAATAAAGAAACAGATTGGTTGCAAAAAAAATGCGTAAATTACAACTTTCTTCCCCTTACATTGACGAACAAATAAACAGAGAGATGAAATCTTGTGAATAATAGAAAGACATAGGAGGAAATTTTATCTGCCTGGGAAGGTTTTCCTTATTCACCAATAGCTACATTATTAATAACTGCATTTACATGACAAATCCTTAATCCCAACGAGGGAAAGGCCATACGAACATTTCTTTCGCCAACTAAATGTCCTCCACCAAATCATTGGGAGTAATGTCTCTTTTCAGAACCTCAACCGAACATGTTTTAAACTTCCTCATTTCCTTTTAGCACCCCCATCTTAATCAAATCACTCCTCCATAAAGAAGAATTCAAGTTATCCGAAGGTCTGATAATCGAGTAACAGGACATGATTGACATCCCTGATGAGAATACACTTTTTTTCTATTTCTAAATGTTTCTTCCCAACTCAAGTTGATTCCTGAAATTCCAAAAAATTAAAACAAAACCAGCAGTTGTTTGATTCAAAATTGCTGAACATGTTTCAACCGGAAAATAAAATTTAAAGCACGAACTCAATAAGTGCACTCTTTTAAGAATTATATTCTCTATGCATTCAAATGAACCAATTTGCCACTCGAAAGCAACTGTATGATTATGGCTACGTCAATTTTAGTTAATTAACAATGTTTCTTCAGACAATTGACCGATTAAGGCATAGAAAATCAGTTGAATAAGCAAAAAGCTAAGCCCTTAGATTTTTTTTCGGCATCTAAGCTTTTAGTTAGTCTCTGTTCTGAGTATTTGCATCAAGTTCCAAGTTCATGCTTTTCTCATAAATTCTGGTGCACCCCCATCAATTCCCACACTTATATATATATCAATGTGTACATACATATATATATATATATATATATATATAAAATTAAAATTATTGAAAGTGGAGTGAAATATGGGAACTCAATATGAAATACCTGAGCGATGACACCGGAAATGCCACCAATGAGTGCCTTACTAGAGAGAGAAAGTGAAGTGCCAGTGGGGGCAAGAGCATTCCGGAGATGTTCGTAACCGACGATTCGGATGGGGGTGTAGAAGAGGTGTCTGACAATTGCCGGAGACAAGCCCTTGTATAGGCCGAGAAGGCCTTCGCCGCGTACGATCTCGGCGGCGACTCGGAACGCGGAGGAGGACAGTGGTTCGCGGTGGAGCTGAAGCCTCGTCTTGGTAATATCGATCGGGAAAGTGGTGGTCTCGGCCACCATGGCCGAGAGCGAGGTCAGAGCTATCTTGGTGTGAGGCCTTTGCGCGTTTTCTCCATCTCGACCTTTCATGGAGATCGGATGGAATTCAGAGTAGAAACCCTAGCGAAAATGGATTCAGAAGGAGGTCGATACCGGGATCATCATGCGACGTCGTTTCGTGAGGCTGAGGAACAGTACCGCGAGAGAACGGTATCGTTTGGTGCATACATACCCTGTTTAATTGTGTACACGTACATATAAAAATAGTACTCCTCTATACCAGGCATGCTATATTACAAAGGAGACTTAACGTATGTCTACGAGACCCTAAATGATCGCTCAATCTTAACATTTGAATTCTCTCGATTCTATCTAACACTTCTAAAATGCAGAGGGGTTAAATGTAAGAAATTATTCAATGGCTTTGGATCAGTTCAATGTAGACCGTTATTGAATTTTTTTTTTTTTAATATATTAATATATTTTTGTGAGTCATTTTCTTAACCGGAGAGTCTAAATTAAATTGGTCCACTAAATGTCAATAGATCAGGACCATTTAATAATTTCTCGACAAAAGTCACCATGGTGCAAACTTAGCCTTCGAATCTTGTGAACCCTACAGTAAACCTAGAAATCCAAATGCCAAAATTGTGCAATCAAAACGAGCAGGCATTCGGTGTGCCTGGTGCACCAAATATATCACAGTGGTCCGTTTATAATAAGTGCAGTGTGTGATGTACACGCGCAGACATGAATGATTATAATGTGCCCGGCAGGCACATTGGATATTTTCCAATCGAAACTGGCTGAACTTTAACATCCTGATTGGTGCTATACATCTTAGTTTGGTATTGGTGGCACCGGTGGATCCAAGGAGGGGCATAGGTGTGCTATACCTAATTTTAGCACAATCTAAAAAAAAAATATATAATAATAAAAATAAAAATAATAATAAATTAATTATTACTAATATTATTCCATCCAAAGGAATATTAACGCAGGTGATTGACTGGATGTGCTCTTGATTGGTGGGGGATTAGTGTGAGACCATAGTAAATGCACTGCAACTATTTTTATAAAGGATAATTATAGAAGTAACAAACTACCCCGAGATAGCCGTTGCCGTTTCAAGTAAAAAAAAGAAAGGCAAATGACCGTTACATTGCCCCAATTTCAAACTTTCAGAGAAACCCACCTGACAAGAAGAGAAGTAGAGTAGAGACAATCCACCACCACCACCATCAAAGATGAGAGAAGAAGATCAGCAACAACAACAACAACCACCAGACATGGAAGAAGAGAAGCTTCAACAGCTCAGATCCAGGGCCACAGAGCTTCTCCTTAGAGAAGAATGGAGGGAGTCAGTACAAGCCTACTCTCACTTCATCTCTCTGTGTCAAGACCACATGATCTTAAACACCCATCAAAGCCCCGATCCAGATCACCTCCCCAAACTCCACAAATCTCTCTGTTTGGCTTTCTCGAATCGAGCCCAAGCGCGATTCCGGCTGCGAGATTTCACAGAAGCACTGAAAGATTGCGATGAAGCATTGAAAATTGAGAGCACCCATTTCAAGACACTAATTTGCAAAGGTAAGATCTTGCTCAATCTCAGTAGGTATAGTTTAGCTTTGAATTGCTTCAAAACAGCTCTTCTTGATCCTCAGGCTATTGTGAACTCCGAAACCCTAAATGGGTACTTGCAAAAATGTAAGAAATTCGAGTTCTTGTCTAGATCTGGAGCTTTTGATCTCTCAGATTGGATTGTAAATGGGTTTCCCGGAAAATCTCCGGAACTCGCGGAGTACATTGGTCCAGTGGAGATCAAGAAGTCTGAGATTAGTGGGAGAGGCATATTTGCAACAAAGAACATAGAAAGTGGTACTCTGTTGTTGGTCACCAAGGCAATTGCCACTGAAAGGGGTATATTGCCCCAATCCAACAACGACGAATTGGCCGAAAATGTGCAACTAGTTATGTGGAAGAATTTCATTGATGAAGTTGTCAAATCAGCGACAAAATGCCCTAAAACCCATCATTTAATCTCTACATTGTCTATGGGTGAAGATGAGGATGGCCTTGAAGTACCTCATATAAGTCTATATAGGCCTGAAGGTGAGGAGATCAGCATTTCAGATGAAAATTTTGATACGAGTAAGGTTTTAAGCATATTGGATGTGAATTCTTTGGTTGAGGATGCCATATCTGCCAAAGTTTTGGGGAAGAACAGTGGTTACCATGGAGTTGGCCTATGGGTACTTGCCTCCTTCATAAACCATTCTTGTAATCCTAGCGCGAGGCGCTTGCACGTTGGTGATTATGTGATGGTGCATGCTTCTAGGGATGTGAAGGCAGGTGAGGAGATCACATTTGCATATTTTGATGTGCTTTCGCCTCTCAACGTTCGCAATGGCATGGCGAAGAATTGGGGGTTTCGTTGTAACTGTAAGAGATGCAAGTTTGAGGAGGGGACGTGCTCGAGACAAGGGATGAGAGAGATTGAATTAGGGCTTGAAAGAGGGCTAGACATGGGTGAAATAGTTTATAGGTTGGAGGAAGGTATGAGGAGATGGATGGTGAGGGGAAAGGAAAAGGGCCATTTGAGGGCATCCTTTTGGGTGGCGTATTCCGGAGTTTTTGGATCGGAGAAGTCAATGAGGAGGTGGGGGAGACGGATTCCTGCACTAGAGGCTGCAATGGATAGTATCGTGGATGCAACCGGAAGTGATGAGAGGGTTCTAAAAGTATTCATGGAAGGACTGAAGAGAAATGGTGGTGGTGGTGGTGGTGTGATGATGGATAGAGCAATGAAGTTAGGAAGAGGATTGTATGGGAAGGTAATGAAGAAACAAGCAATGAGGACTCTGTTTGAGCTTGGTGGCATTCATGGACATTGTTAAAGCTATTAGCTCATAGCTTTTTGCAGTTCTTTCAATTAGTCTAAAATTCAGTGCTTGCCACGGTTAGTGACTTAGTTCAAAGTTCATATTTTCTTTCCCAGTACCAATTGTTTAACAGATTCATGTATTTAAGTCATATACATTTCAACAAAATGGCTTAATCAAGAGAAGCTTTGACAAGTTTTGCTATACATAGCCTGTATTAGCTTCACTTGTTAACTTTATTCTATATATATATATATATATATATATATATATATTTTGGCAATTCATAGAAGAAGCTCAAACTCTTATTTTCATTGGGTTCTGACTAGTTTTGAACAGCAACACTTTGAACAAGTTGTTAGTGCTAGCTAACCCCATTATCATTGTTTTTGGCTCTGTGATTGTAATTTTGTGGCCCTTCTATGGCACTCGCAATGTCCATTCAAAGATCTGAATGGTTAGGTGTGTGTATCTAATGGTAAATGTAGAAGTAGAATACTCAATTATATTTCAGCCATATGCCATATTAATCCTCCCTGAGCTACTGTGTGAAAAAACACCATCAGTATGCATTTAGGCAGACACTTGTATAAAATGACATTCTTCCCATGAGATTTGAATGACACCATCAGTATGCTTACTAGGTCCAGGTCACCGCTTGTTAGCTCCATGAGACTTTAATAAGCCAACAATAATGTTCCCTGATATGTTTATTTTTTGGTGTTTGATTGTCGTAAGATATTTACGAAGAAAAAAAATATTAAACAAGTTATTTTACACGCTATACTTTATGGACTAAAATATCAACCCCTCGACCTAGACGTCCGTTCGTTTCGACGTAACATATTTTTTTTAGCTAAAATATATATATATATATATTTTAGCTAAAAAAAATATGTTACGTCGAAACGAACGGAACCTTAATGCTTGCTGAAGATTAACTTGTAGCCAGGCCAAAAAGCTTCACAACAATTTGTAGTTTTAATCTAGTAAACAACAATGCTAATTTTTTATTTTTATTTTTAAAGTTTAAATAAACGTTCACACACTAACAATAATAATGTTCTAATGCGGATTGGCAACAACTAACAACAATATTAAACTATACTTCATGTTTTATTAGATCAAAAATCCAATTTGACTATAAAACAGCGATGCTAATTTTGAACAACATTAGTTAGGAAATAAGCCAATAATGTTCCGTAACATATAGAGCAATGTCAAAGCCCAGCCCAAAGGCCCTAAGCTCAACTGAAACTCTAACATGCGCCTGTCATGAGACTGGCCGGGCCATAGTGTTGATCGAGACAAGTCACAAAATTTTCAAACAGGTGTTGCTTTTAAGTTTCGTACGCGTTTTTGCTTTCAATCTCACTCTCATTTTAATGAGTTTCATGATGCAGATAGTAGTCCCGATAACAAAATTAAAGGCCCATGACTTTGTTGTAGTTCAGTCCAGAAGTGGCAGAAAAATTTTCAAACGGGTGTTGCTTTTAAGTTTCGTGCGCGTTTTTGCTTTCAATCTCACTCTCATTTTAATGAGTTTCATGATGCAGATAGTCGTCCCGATAACAAAATTAAAGGCCCATGACTTTGTTGTAGTTCAGTCCAGAAGTGGCAAAAAAATCGTTAGAACTTATAAAACAAATCAAATCGAATTGAACAATACAATTTTGTCCGATTCTATAATGAAATGGTCCATTTTTTATTTTAAAAATTAAAAAATTATTAGTTTTGATTCCATTTATGGTTTGTGGTCCAAAATGATCGAACCAATCTAGACTTGTATACTACTCTTGTTCAATTTTGATCGATAGAGAACAATTTTGACTGGTAGAAAGTATAATATACCATGCATTACACCAACGTATAATTATAAATATTTTAATTTTTAATTTTTCATTTTATTGCTATGCATGTATATATATGTAATCTATAACAAAGTTAAAAACTATAAATTCGAATAGAACCAAACTAATCACTATCGTTCGATTTTACTGTTTCAAATAATCCAATTTAGTTTCAAACTTTTTTAAATTATTAGAATCGATTTGATTCGTTCATTCCACACTAAATTAGATCCAACCGCATGCATTCTAAATTGGCTAATAAAAATTGAACCGTGTGCACTTTAACTAATATTTTTTATTTTTCTTTAGTGTGCGTGTACGTGTTTTCTCTTCTACATTTAGAGACTAAGCAGCCTTCACTGTAAAAAAGATACACAAAACTATATAGTTCCTCGTGGTGTCCCAAGTCGCACGTTGATAAAACAATAACAAATGAATAGTTTAATGTAAGGAAAAACCCTATCTTAAAACTATTGGACAATGAGACACATTTATCCAAGTTTCTAAATCCATCGACATAATAAACTATATATATATATATATATATATATAGAAACCACTAAATGATGAAGTCTGCAAAATCCACGCGTAACCCATATAGTGCTTAGCTCACATCAGAAGAAGAAAACTCCAAACGAGTTAGGGTCAATAAAGACAAGCCACCTACCACGCATGCTATAAACCGATATGGATAGATCAGATTTTCAGACTATGCCCCAATCAACGGCCATTATTCAAAGGAATATTCCTTTTTCTCTCAGCAGACTTCTCCGATTTAGATATATACAATTCCACCGTGCCACGTGTCGTGATCTAATCCTGATCAGAACGTGACACGTGGGATAATGTGTTCAAACTAACGGTTCTAATCCAATGTGCCGCCAATAATGAGGTGTCAGGATAAGAACCGTGTGAAAATTGGGCCCCACGTGAATTTTATCGATGCTTATCTTTTATAAATATCCTTTTTTTGGAAAGGACACGTGTCGGCTTTTCGACTGGGGTTGATAGCTCAGTTTTGAAGATTGATTCTCATGTTCTTGCTCATCCGAGGTTGGAAAAGTAGAAGTTATATACTTTCTCGAGTAGGATAAAGGAACTTACTCGCTTTACGCTATTGACTCGTTCTTTGGAAAATTTTTTCCCCAAAATAGTTGGGAGTAAAAGGTGTGAACCAAACAGTTTTTATTCTTAAACGACTATTCCAAAGTCTCATTTTGAATGTAATGGAGTGATAATTTTGAATTCAACGTTTTATTTATTTATTATTATGACTGTCAAATATTTTTAAGAATATTCTTTCTAAATTACATAATTTGTGAATAAAAATATGCATTTAGAGTTTGTCATTAAGTTTTTATATTGACATTATAATCATGTATTGTCCGATACGCAACGTTTCGATCGATTTTTTTTTAAGGTCGATACACGATTTGTATCCGTTAATTTACACGACTTTATCTAAATCAGTTATATCATGACCATAACTAATATCGTGACCGATACTGCAAACCACACTCATAACACCATCTGAATTAAATTTGATATCCAAAATACAATAAATATATTTAAAATTATGTTATCCTCAATATTAAATTTATTTGGACTCTCTTATTATAAAAAAGTGTGGTAGTTGGATTTTAACTTGACAAAGATTTTTCATTTTATTGTTGGGGAATGCAAGCTACGTCACACCCAACCAACCCTACACACACCTACCACACCACATCTTATATATCTAAAAAGAAATAAATATCTAGAATTAATAAGATGCTCAATAAATAATTACCCAATTTGTATTGTTATAAATTTCAATTTACATAGAGGAGATATTTTTGTAGGTGTCTAAAGTTTTGCCCTGATTAAATTTCGAGGATGACACTGTATTATCTATCTCTATAAGAGTTGAGTATAGTTTTAACTTTCACCATTGTAAACGCGAGTTCAAAAATTTATTTATATTCAATAGGAGTTAAACCTTAGGCTTACAATAGATCTAAGTGAATTACCGCTCAATCCAATCCCTCAGGTGGACAGTTGTGAGCTTGTGTGTGATACTTTAAAATAATACTAATAAAATAAAATAAAATAAAATAAAGTTAAAAAATCCTCAATCAACCACGCTATTGCTTATCCTAAATTAAATAAAACAAAGAACCAAAAAAAAATCAAGAAAAATACAAAAACCTTTCTTAAAGTAGAGCGGCCAAAACAAACAAAGAAAAAAAAAAAAAGATAAAGAAAAGAAAAGGTATTAAAAGGATATTCCCATTTTGTCCTTTGATGTTAGCTGTCTTGACAAGATAAGTGTGAAAGCATTCTCTCTAGTCTATAGTCCTTTACCCACACCTGCAAGTATGGCACACAATCCTCCTCATCTATAATATATACGAGGTATATGTAAGTCAAACAAACAGCCAATCAATGTGATGTAATCCCACTAGAGGACAAAAAAACCTCTAAAATAAAAGGACTAGCCTTCTCCTTTCAAACATTTCAAACTCTCCTCTTTCTCTCGACTTTTCTTCTTTCACACTTTTCCTTTCCCTTCCCTTCCCTTCCCTCTTAGCCAAGAAAGAAAAAAAATCAACATTAATCTCAACCATATTGTCACTCTCTGCATACAATGATAGCAAAACACAACTCTGTCCTTCCACCTGGTTTTAGATTCCATCCCACCGATGAAGAACTGATCATGTACTACCTCCGAAATCAGGCCACGTCGCGACCGTGTCCTGTGTCCATCATTCCCGAAGTGGACATCTACAAATTCGACCCGTGGGAATTACCCGGTTAGTATATATACTTCGTCGAAAAAATATAGATAAATGAGCCATTAATATTGATTCATATGGTTGCTTATGTGAACTCATATTAATTGTGTAGACAAGGCGGAGTTTGGAGAAAATGAATGGTACTTTTTTAGTCCCCGTGACAGGAAGTACCCGAATGGGGTCCGACCCAACAGAGCAGCGGTGTCGGGTTACTGGAAAGCCACGGGCACAGACAAGGCCATTCATAGTGCATCCAAATACGTGGGTGTGAAGAAAGCTCTTGTTTTCTACAAGGGTCGGCCTCCAAAGGGTATCAAAACTGATTGGATCATGCATGAGTATCGTTTAAGCGACTCAAGAACACAACCCAGCAAGAGAAATGGATCTATGAGGGTAAGAATTTGGGTAAAGTGGTCAATGCTAGCATAATGAAGTTGTTGAAACTTTTTGATTAATTTAGTGTGTGTTTGTGTGTGTTTTTTTCAGTTGGATGATTGGGTTCTTTGCCGGATTTACAAGAAGAAAAGTATGGTAAGAGCTGAGCAGAAAATAGAAGAGGACTCTTATGCTGCTCAAATGGTTCTACCAGTTGCCGGTGTAAACGCCGGTGACGAACAAATCATGAAATTTCCGAGGACTATGTCACTTTCTCAACTATGGGAATTTGAAAAGTTGGGCTCGATTTCACAACTTTTAAGTGACAATAATGCATTCAATTCTTCGAGCTTCGATTTACAGAACACCGTGAACCATGCCGGCATGAGCCACCACGGTGGCATCAGCAAAATTGAGTCCGGCGAAGTGCCGTACCAACAACCACCACACACGGACACAGCAAAATTTCAAGCGAACCACAGTAGCGTATTGAACCAGACAATTTTCATGAACCCAGTGTTTGATTTTCAAGGATAGAATGGTTTTTTATGTCATAAAGAAATTGTAAAATAGGGCTTGTTAGAGATCATAGAGGCTCCAACTGTTCAAAAAATTTGTAAAATTTGTCATTGAATGAAACGTATTATTTGCCTCTGGCAATGGACATAAACCATAAGCAGAAATACCACTTTGTTAAGCTTAAACCAAACTAGTAACTACTTGATGGATATTAAACTTAAAATAAATAATAATAATAATAATAATAATAATAATAACCTCCAAAATTTTATTTATTTTTGGCTTTTTCGTTATCCATGTCGTCTTCCGAAACTATTTGATCCTGACCTAATCAGGTCAAATAGTCTAAATTGCCGCACGATTCGGACCTAATCACACCAAGCAATCCAAATTGCCGCACGCAACTGAATCATGCAATCACACGCATACACAAGAATTTACAGGAATAAATTTACCCAACTTATACTTTTCAAAGGATTTGAAGATTGAGAGATTGCAGCCACAAAACACCTTCCCCACACACTGCCTGTAGGTAAATGCTTGATTCCTGTGTTGAGAGTGGTTTTGTGTCACAATGTGCACTTTGTGGGGGGTGATTAGGTCATAACGCATAGCCTTTTCGGATATAAGAATAGCTTTATCTAGTTCAAACAGATGACTAATTAAGTTCAATCTTAGGCAGAAAATTTAGGAAAAAAAAAGGAGAATTGGGATTTGGATGGGCTTTTAACATAGAATTAAATCAAGTGATTTTGATACAAGTTGTCACGATGCGCACTCTTATGTAGATATTATCCGTTGTGTATATTTATTGTATTTATAATTTTTAAAATATATATTTGTCATATTCAAATTTCAAAACGTACCTACACAATTAAAAGACATTCACACGTACAAGTCTCGACTGTTTTGTTTTGTTTTGTTTTTTTCTTTTTTCATCTTCTTCAAGTGGCGCGAAAGGCCGCATAAGTATTGAAGGACTTAAATGTAAAAGTTAGGTACTCGATTATTTGTCGCTATTGGCTAATAAAAATGTTGGTCAAAGAAAATAACTGCTGCATAACGAGTACGCAAAAGACTTTGCGGCCAATTAGAGTTAGCAAACTCAAGACAATTGACCAAAACAGTTTTGGTACATGCATGGGCTAAAAAAATTGACATTGACATCTACTATTATGCAGCTAATTTATCGCCGCAATGGCACCATCTATGAAAGTTGTTTTAGATAAGGTTGAGCTATTATTGACTTTTAAAAATAATACTTTCCCCATCTCATATTAAGTAAGTGTCGCATTTAGTAATTGTGATTAAGCGACTCTTAATGTGAAATGAAAGGAGTATATATCTTCTGAATTTTGAAAATATTAATTAACGCCTGAGTCCATCAACATGACGTAATGTGATGGGGGCCATACTTTAGCATACTCTTTTAATGCAATTTCATGTTATTGCACCAAGAGTCATGACAGTACCAATAGCACATTTTTAAAATATAAAAGAAACTTCTGAATTCTTCAGATTATTATATCAAAACCATTTAATTATGTTAATGTGAGTGAATTAGGTTGGGACACCAAAGAGATGAAACCATTTTTAATCCCAGGGCATACAAAGATTGTTGCCAAATTTTATAGCTAGTTCATTAGCTACCAACATTCCAACCACTTCATGTTACCCACAAATCACTCTTTTATAAGAAACAATCGCTTCTAAGGCCATTCTATTAGCACACTACACTTGTTGTTCCCTTTGTTGTTGTCTCACAAATGGAAGAAGAGGGAAACTTAGTGCCTTTTCTTTCTTCACCAGATGGATACAGCATAAGTATGTTCATGCTAGCCTGCATGGTTTCTTCATGGATCTTCATCCACAGATGGAAGCAATGGAACACCAAGGGACCGAAAACGTGGCCACTCGTAGGAGCATCAATCGAACAAATGATGAACTACGATCGGATGCATGACTGGCTTGTCGAGTACCTGGCCAAGTCAAGAACCGTCGTGGTTCCAATGCCCTTCACCTGTTACACCTACGTTGCTGATCCTGCTAACGTAGAACACGTCCTCAAAACCAACTTTGCTAATTATCCGAAGGTTAGAATTCTCGTGAGTCACTCAAAAATATGCTGTTAATCAAGCCTTACACTAATCGCTTCAATGAAGAACATGATTTTCTTTCTTTTTTCTTTTTAAATTTTTAAATTTTTTTGAAGGGCGAAGTGTATCATTCGTATATGGAGGTGCTGCTCGGAGATGGTATTTTTAATGTGGATGGTGAGCTATGGAGGAAGCAGAGGAAGACTGCGAGTTTTGAGTTTGCATCCAGGAATTTGAGGGATTTCAGTACTGTAGTTTTCAGAGAATATAGCCTTAAGCTCTCTGCTATTCTATGTAAAGCATCTTTCCACAATAAAGAAGTAGACATGCAGGTAACTCCTTAAAACCTCGGTTTATATTCTGTATTCAGTACCCAAGGGTACCGAGAACGTAGTACATGTGGCCATAGTTGTTATTTTCTACTATCGAGTAAACTAGTGAATATTCACTGGTGGGGGCTACTAAATAGTAGGTATATCGGGGTATTTAATACTTTTCCCTTCCTCCATCCCTATAAATATTCAATTTGTAAAATTTTACGACACCATGAATCAACAGTACTTGGGATGAGGATGTCTATATTTCTACACATACAGCTAAAAGGATCAGTATATAGTTTCAAAAAGTTTATAGTGTTTCATTATGCAAAAACCATAATGGAATGAGTTTCATGATAATGTGGTTTTTGACTGTAACCTAAGTGATCTGTGTGTACTAACAGGTGCTTAAATTCTCTCTATTCTAGGAACTATTGATGAGGATGACTCTGGACTCCATATGTAAGGTGGGATTTGGGGCAGAGATAGGAACATTGGCTCCCCATCTACCGGATAATCGATTTGCTCAGGCATTCGACACTGCAAACATTATCGTCACTCTTAGATTCATCGATCCTCTATGGAAAATTAAGAAATTTCTTAATGTGGGTTCTGAAGCTGTACTAGATCAAAGCATTAAAATGATCGACGATTTTACATACTCTGTAATTCGGAAAAGGAAGGAAGAAATAGAAGCCACTCGAGAGACTTGCAAAAATGACAAGGTAACATGCCTAGAACTTGTCACTAGAGTTGGTTCTAATCGTCTAATTATTCATTTCCCGATGAAAATGATCAGATGAAGAACGACATACTGACAAGATTCATTGAGCTTGGGAAAGACCCGGAGAACAATATAACAGATAAAAGCCTCAGAGATGTTGTTCTGAACTTTGTCATTGCCGGCCGTGACACAACAGCCACAACTCTCTCTTGGGCAATATACAATATAATGACACATGACCATGTAGCAGACAAACTATACTCAGAGCTCAAAACTTTTGAAGAAAACCGGGCAAAAGAAGAGGAGGTTGAATTGCTTCAGTACAATGTAGATGATCCCGAATCCTTCAATCAAAGAGCAATGCAATTTGCAGAACTCCTGACATATGATTCAATGGGGAGACTATGTTACTTGCATGCAGTGATCACAGAGACACTTCGATTATACCCAGCCGTCCCCCAGGTATGCAAAATCTGAACTCGGTGGACAAATATGCCAAAGCAAGAGGTATAAAATATCAAATAACAGATATCAGGAGAAGAAAGTTCGGATGTTTTGGTTGGAACAATTCATAGTGATCACAAAAGATCAGCAAAACGAACCCTAATAAGCACAATAATTAAGCATTCCTTGGAGCTCCTATCATTAGTAGTCTTAAAGTGAATAATGTTCGTTTCTGTGATTGTAGGATCCTAAGGGCATCCTGGAGGATGATGTTTTACCAGATGGAACTAAAGTAAAAGCTGGAGGAATGGTGACTTATGTGCCCTACTCAATGGGTCGAATGGAGTACAACTGGGGTCCCGATGCAGCTTCATTCAAGCCTGAGAGATGGCTAAAAGAGGGTTGCTTCCAAAATGCATCACCATTCAAGTTCACTGCATTTCAGGTATCTTGACAATATCGAACAGTTATAACCATTGTTCTAAACTTCATCCGTGTCAAATTCAAGCTGCTAAAAAGCCATTTCACAAAGTAATGGCCCCTAAGGCTGCATTATAACTCAAATATTTTTTGAAAGAATCATTATTATACCTAGTATATATATGCTAAAACTTAATCATAAGATGGTTATTAAAGAACTGCAATAAATTATTTTTATGGCTATAATACTTGGTTCATTCTTACACCAAGGTATTCATGGCTCTATTTAACATCTGACATGCAGGCTGGGCCGAGGATATGCTTAGGGAAGGACTCTGCATATCTCCAAATGAAGATGGCACTGGCCATTTTGTGTAGGTTTTTCAAATACAGTTTGGTGCCGGGGCATCTAGTGAAGTACAGGATGATGACAATTCTATCAATGGCACATGGATTAAAGGTTAATGTTAGAAGATGTTCTTAAGACTCCTCGAGAGGTCATACTGTTGTTGATGTTTGTAGTTTATACATGCTAAAAGTAATCACTACTATATATATAGAGGTTGATATGTAGCCCTATATGATTATGTTAAGAAATTGAAATGCATTCACAAAACAAGAAAACTTACAATCCTATCCTAAGTTCGTAACAAAAAATTCAGCAATTAATATTAGTTGACTAGTTAAAATGTGAAAAAATCTGACAAGAACAAGCTCTTTAAAGTTAAACCTAGTAAGGACATTCAAGGGCATCATCCCTTAAAGGGCCAAATGATAGAAAAATAATTATTTTAGAAAGTCAAGACATAAAGATGCACAATGATATGAAAGCAAACAAGTAAAACCAAAACAAAACAACTCAATGTGTAAAATCATGACAAGATGCCCAATGATATGAAGCTTGTACTTCTATAACTTACCTTCCTCTTTCTCATAAAGAGATTCAGTAAATTCTAACGAGAAAATGGCTAAAAATGCATTCTGATCTCCAAGTCAAAATTGGACGGGTGATGGATGACAGAATACTTAAAAAATTGCCTGCAGTTCATATATCCGTTGATCAATTAAATTTCTGCAACAAATCCAGACAATTAAAAAGAAGAGAATAACTTGATCAGCAGAAAGAGAGATGCTTGTATATTGCCAAATCTGTCATGCATGGATCTTTCTATAATCCCTTGAAACATGGAACTCCTAAATCAGTGTGTGTGTGTACATAATACATAAAGATTTATATTACAAGTTCCGGTTTTATTTCTTCATTCCTGGCTGCTGTACAAGCTCTCATAATAGATGGCCAGCAGAGACTTAAGAAATTAATTTCTGCTTCTTATCTTGCCGTTCATTAATCTCAGCTTGTATCTTTGCTTGAACCCCGGCATGGAACCCTGGATATGGTTCATAACCGAAACAGATTTGAAGAGCCTGCGGCAAACAATAGTTGCAACATATCCACATTATTTATCGAATAGGAGAAACTCAATAGAATTACGAAGATTGCATGTACAGTAATTACCTCAAGCAGAACAAAGAAGGGAGCCATTAGAAAGGCTTGAGATAAGTTATCCAGAAGAGCTGGTGCTCGTTTCTGCAAAATAATTTTAAATTAGAGGTGTATTAGTATGATTAATTGGAAGCAATTTTAACTTGTGACATAGTTATCTTACCTCAAATACCCCATGGCCAATGAACTGTCCAGTCCAACATACCAGCTGAGACACCAGAACAACCTGAAATGGTTATAATGAATTAGCTCACGTTTACGTAGTTCACCTCATCAAGGTCATAACATAGTATTCAGTTTCAAAAGACAAAGTATTTAAAATGTGACACAAAACATATAGGAGGTAGCTGCTAATGCTCAATGCAGTTTCGTGTTTTTCAAACTTATGTAATTCAAAAACTTCTATACTTGGTTTTATATAGGTATCAATTTACCCAAACAAAAAGATATCATATTGATATCCTGCCTCAAAAACTTCTATACTTGGTTTTTGCTAGTTGATATTATATAGGTATCAATTTACCCAAACAAAAAGATATCATATTGATATCCCGCCTCTAAAATTTGTAATATTTAAAAGACAAAGTGTTTAAAACGTGACACAAAACATATAGGAGGTAGCTGCTAATGCTCAATGCAGTTTCGTGTTTTTCAAACTTATGTAATTCAAAAACTTCTATACTTGGTTTTTGCTAGTTGATATTAAATAGGTATCCATTTACCCAAACAAAAAGATATCATTTGATATCCTGCCTCTAAAATTTGTAATATTTAAAACAATAACGACAAGCCAAGTACATAGCTCAATTAAAATAGAATCATTGTTAGGATATACTAAGTGTGTATCAGTAGCATAAAAACATCAATACTTTCTAGATCCAAGGAAAATATCGAAGCTAAAGTAACAACTTCTAAATAACAAAGGCAATAAATGAGGTTGCTAGTCTCTTGAACATAAAACAAAACCAGCAACCTAACAATGAAGCTGGGGAATTAAGGAAAAGACTAAAGAGGAAGACAGACAGCCACAGCGGCAGAACAAAAGGACCTACAGCAGAAGAAAGAAAGAAGAATAACTATCGAAAAGAACAGAAAAATAGGCAGTGGAAAGTTGATAAGGAGCCACCCCATCGGCCTAGGTGGTATAACCTCTCTTCCCCTAAGGGAAGGTGTGGGTTCAAGCTCCATAGTGGGCATTTGTGGACGTATGTCAGTGTGTGTGTGTAAAAATAAAAAATAAAAATAGAAAAGAAGAAAAGATTATTAGAAGCCAAACATTGACATTTCATTGTCAAATATGGTTCAGACTTTCCAGTACATTTCCAAGAGCCAGAAAGATTCATCTTTGAATAAACCCTTATGAATGAACTAGAAACAAAGGTGTGAACAGAACAAAGTGATGACAATTTTATGATGAAAATAGGAATGAATACACTCTATTTCCAAAATGGGACTAATGAACTTCCAATTATTCAGCAATATATATATATATATATATATATATATATATATATATATATATATAGGAGTATATATAGATAGATACATATATACATGCATAGATCATTTGAAACAGGAGTACTTGGATATGCAATTGAAAATGAATCAATCCCATATGTTGGTGTAAAACACAAAATGCAGATATCACCATAATCCCACTATGAAATACTCCGTAAATCAAAGTCTAGCACAAGATGCAGATACCACCATAATTCTAAATGAAACAAGGTCATTTATAAATAAACATCAAATGTATCTATTTTAGCTGTATTAAGATATATACACACAAGGAAATTAATTCAAATCCAATGCAAAACATGGACTAAACAGATCCCTTAAAAAACATTTATTTATTTGTTTTGTATTTATATTTTTCTTTGGGTATGTGTAAAAGCAATACTCTGCATAACCACAAATGTTTTATTAATTATACAAACACAACCAATTTTGTCCCCCACTATAAAAATTACAGCAAACTTCAATTTGCAAACACTGGAAATAGATTCAAATAAACAAAAGCATAAAACATATACGAGAGCTTCAATAAAATTCTTATTCCCCCCCACAAAAAAAAAAAAAGGTAAAGATAGCTTCAATTCAACATTCAATTTCAGAGAATAAACAAAACCCAAATCAAATTCCTGTACTATAAATAAAATAAAATAAAATAAAAAGTACCAAAATTCTCACCTTCCAAGAAATAGAAAACCCTAGCAGATTCCCAAGATAGCTACTGGCAACCCAACAAATGAAACAGAGGATTGCCGCCAAAGAACCAGCTCTCACATCGAAACACACATAAAACGCAGCATAGATCAAAGTGAGCAAAAACCCAATATTCAAAATCAGAATAAGATTAATCCCAAATATAGAAAACTCGATATGAGGAAGGTTAAACAGGGATGGAGTGAAGTGCAACATAAGAAGAGCTGTGAATAAAATTGGCCACACAAACACCATGTGTATGGCTACGTTAATTGGGTTGCTGTGATAAGCTCCATAGAAAGCAAAGTGCTTCTCAAGATCAAATAATCCCATCTTACCCATATAGAAATCTGATGAGTTCTCAACAATTGACAAAAAACCCAAGAAATTTTCTATAAGATTTTCTCGAGAAACTGGCTAGATTTGTGCGTATATATATATATATATATATATATATATATATATATATATATATGCCTCAGACTAATACTTCGGAAATGCCAAGGAAGGAGGGAGCCAAAGGAACAGTAGGGATTTTGTCCACAAGTACAATGATGTAATGGAACAACTGCTCCGTCTAGATTGTGATTGGGTTACTCGTGTGATGGCACGTGTTTGTGCTGTGAGCTATTTGATGCCACAGAACATTCACACGTGTAGCTAGAATAGGTTAGGCTTTTATATATATACATGAATATATATTACACACAGATGAAAAATAATTTTGATTCTAAATTTGAAACCCAATCTTCAATGCAGTATGATTTTTTCCTGTGTCAGTTTTGTTTCGGTATCTAATGCAATAAATTTTACAACGTGAATGCAATAATTTTAAATTAATAATACAATAATTACAAGAATACGTTAAAATTCTGCATAATAAATATAGAGATGCTTGAAGGATCCTGTATAACATTATAACACAGGTATAATATATTGTATAGGTGTTATAACTATCATATGAATTTGTGGTATAATTTTTTTTTTTTTTTAAATTGCTACGTGAGGTTGCATTTTGTTATTTATTGTGTTGTATTATGATATTGTTATGTTGCAAACCTCCAGTGTGATGATGTACTGTGCATAGAATCCCCAAACAAGAGGAATCCAGGTTCTTTAAATTTGATATATATATATATACACACATATGTAATTATTTATAAATACATTTTTTTCATAATCATTTATAAATATCAACACATGCATTTTAACACTTAATCTAAATAGAATAATTATTTTAATCTAAATCGTTAATCTGTTTACATTTAATTAAATGTATTCGATAACATAATTTGAGTAACATTTACTTAATAATAATAGCACTTATCATTGAACGTTGTATGTTTACCATTTAAAAAGAAAAGCAAAAAAAATTGTTTATTGGTCATTAAAGTGACCAAATTATACGGCAGCCCATCTCACTTAATGTTCTACATGAAAAATTTAGTAGCATTTTTGGTTGAAAATTTGCTCCTCAATTATTGAATTGACAGTTCATGTCACAGCACCCTCATCCTCGTGCTAGCTTGATGATGAAGTATCACTGGAAATTCAAGAAGGTGGTGGTCCCTTCATTTATATTTTTCAAGTTTATGGTTTTTTTTTTTGGCATTGATATGATATATAGTGACTCTCCTCCCAACTACTTGGAAAAGATTGCATTCCAGTTGACAACCAAATTGATAAGAGAATAGGGCAGGTGGTGAAGAGTTATGAAGAGCCTTCATTCTTCCTTTAAGTAATAGGGACTAGGGTAGGAACCTTTCCTTCCGGAAGTGAAAGGAATTGAAGAGGGAAAAGAACTTTTCTTTTTCAAATATAAATGTCTACCTGTCGACTGATGTGCCAGCTATTGAGATAAACACTTAAGAATGAGAGATAATTTATTCTTTATCGATAAATAATTTGCCAAACAGGCATTAAAAACTTATGAGAGATAATTTATTCTTTATCGATAAAAAATTTGCCAAAACTATTCTGGCCTTAAAAATTCTTATTAAAATCTCTTATTTTTAGCCTTAAAATCTCTTATTAAACACTGACAAATAAGTTAAATGACAGTGAAACTTTCAGCTTATCTTTTTTTCTTTAAATCCCTCTTTTCTCCTTTACCTTCCTTTCTGATTGAAATATCTCTTTTTTTCTTTTCATTTTTATTTTCTTTTATTTTCTTTTCCTTCTTACTTGTCTTGTGATTTTTTTAATCACTGGCATCAAACGGTTGATACACCACAAGGCTGTAAGGAAACTCTCTGTTCAAAAGTAGTATTCATATGCGCTTGAATGCCCAATTGGATTAGATATATGTACTTCTTAGTCCAGTTTGGATGGCTATTGAATTTAATTAAATAATTAAAAGTTGCACTTCTTGGCCAGCCATTTATGTTCTATTCCTTGCTTTCTTTTTTCTCCTCCTAGTAGCTTTGTTTTTTGGATTGACTTTAGCATGGTTTTAGCGATTAATATAACTTAGATACATGTTATATAAAAATATTTGAAATTGAAATGTTATTACTGTTTAACATTTTTTTTTTTTATATTCAAAAGCTGCCTATAAAATAATGTAAGATTAGACAAATTAGTCTCAATTCAAAATTGGTTGAAAATATTGAAAATGTATATATCCTGACATTCCCAATAATAAATGAACACATTGACAGTGTATATCTTTAATTACCAAATCAAAAATGATGTGGTATACGTTCACCAATATATATTTTTTTCTTTGGGAATCTCATTCTTAAATTGGATGATTCACACGATTGAGTTATTCAATTGTGTAATAATTGTCAAGGGAGCCTGTTTAATAGATTGAAAATATGGTGATTTAAATATAGAAAATGATTGATAAACCAAATACTCGGATTTAAATATAAAATATGATTGATAAATCAAATACTCCAATTCGAAGTGTTGTGTGGAATGCATCCCATACGCAGGACCATGGAATGCATTCCACTCGACACGTTGGCTAGAGTATTGGTCTATGAATCATTACTTTTTAAATATATCTTGGATTTAAGACTGAATCCAAATGTCTATTAAGGATTAAGACTCAATTCAAATGTTCTATTCAACCTGTATGAGCAATTTTTAAAAGAAACAAAATAAAGAAATGATCTGGTGAAAACTTTATTGCATAGTTCAATTTTAACTTTAACATGACAAAAAACACCTTAAATTATCTATCTTCTGCAAATTCTCCTTTGCTCGTTCATGAAAACTACTAGACAACAATTTATATAGAAAAGCATACAATGCATATGACCCCACACCACAACATCTTATTAGTTCAATATACATGTATCTTCAAGCACATACTAATGCCAAAACAAATAAGTAATTATGTCAACAAAATTTACATCAGGACTTCCAATATCATGAACATTGCAGAGTGGTAGTTTTTGCCATGCCCATATGAATATAAACACACAAAGACCTAAGGAACTAAAAGAAAGTACTGATTGATATAATTGGGTTAACTTAATCATCAATTAATGCAGTTTTGAAATAGCAATACAAATAAGAATTTAATCTTTTTTATAACAAAACAAACAAAATAAATAAATAAGTAACTCGAGATTAAATAAAGAATAAAATATTTGATAGAGCCAAAACACCCCCTTTAAAAAATGACACGTCCCGTAATTTATTATGTGCGTGAGTTATGTCACATAGAGCAGGAGCGAGAGCAAAAAAAATGACTAAATATAAGTCACAAAGAGTAAGAGTGGGAGCAAAATTACACCGTACACCTTAGTCTCCCTTGCACCATGGAACTGGGGTTTTGTCTCCTGCAACAGTTCCAAGCATTCTTACATGAGATGAATTACTTCACTGGCTGCAAATGATCTGCTTCCAGAAACCGAAGATTCCATCGACCCCCATGAATAAGCAAGCATCTTTAGGGAATGAGAACCACCTTAAAACCCCATTACTAAATCTCAGCAAGACAGTATACCTACTGCACCATGGATCCTGAAACAAACTAATCATGGACTGAGTTCCAATCCCGTAGGAAACCTTCTAGCTCATGATATCTCTGACAGAGGACATTTTCTTCCAAACAGTTGAATGACCAGAAGCAGGAACAACATTCCAAGAAGATTCATTGACTCAAAAGTGAAAAGAATATATAAACCTATTTGTTTTTATTTGGGCTACTCGAAAAATATTTCTCAAAAATAATTGCATTTTTGTTCTAAATGAAAATATCTCCAAAAGATAATCGCACAAATACCCCAAAATAAAAAAGTCAACAAAATAAAACCGAAGTTTCCCCATAGAATGAATCTTGTTAGTAAGAGAAAGCAGCCAAGGATACCTGCTCGGTAAGTTCAGGCTACATTCCATGTTTACCCCCATGCTCAATTCTTCAACAAGAGGTTATAAGAGAGATGGGGAAACGGTTGATGTCTTCTTGTGCAATGCCTCGTACATAAGTTAAACAAAGCTTTAAACCAACGGAAGCAAGATTCCATTAGAAACTTCAACCTACTTGGAAAGATTTAAAAAATTACTTGAAGCATAAGCGCAAGAAAATGGGACTCGAAGACAGTGATGATGGAGGTGTTATGTGGGGGCAGTGGTGATGGTGGTGTTGGCTGGGGCAGTGGTGATGAAGGTTTTTGGTGGTGGTGGTGATGGAGGTGTTGGGTGGGGTAGTGGTGATGGACGTGTTGGGTGGGGGGTGGTGGGGTATGTTGGGGTAGTTTTGTCACAAATATTCAAACACTCTTTTTCCAAGTTAATCGTATGTCAAAAGGGTAGCATAGTTATTTAACACGTCAAAAATACTTTAATTTATAAAAATTTGACATTTGGGGTGTAAGTGAAATTACTAAACCACTATTCTAAATGTGAGTAAAAATTAAAATTAAAATATTTATTTAGGTGAGATATGACATAATCTCAAGAGGTGTCAGTATAATTTATTCAAACGTAATTACAAACCAAACAATGTCATAGAATTCATATTTTCTTTAAAAGCCCATACTATTATAGGTTTGGAAGCTTTCACCCGTTGGTTTTGATTTTGTAAAAGCCCAATTGTACTAGATCCTTCTTAGTCCACTTTGTATGGCTATTTAATTTAATCAAATAATTAAATGTTAGGACCGTTTTTTTTTTGTTGGGAATTTTAAGCAACTGATATACTGGTAAATTACAAAGAAAGTACATTGTGGGCCAATAGGTCAGACAATCCAAAAATGGAGACAAGCCCAATTAAGGGAAAGGTATAAATTATATGTTGGACTTAGCAAGATTATACTTATTCCTTGCTTCCTTCTCTCTCTCTCTCTCTCTCTCTCGGTAGTCAATTCAAACTCTCGGGTGGTTTACAACTCTCGATAGGTGTAATCCATCCATAAATCATACATATTATTTAATTTTGAATTATTTTGTATCTTATCAACATCGAGTTTACGGCTTGCCTCACAAGACTCTTATACCTTCTAGCTTTTTTGGAGTGACTTTAGCATGATTTTAGTAATTAGTAAAACTTGATACATGTTATATAAAATATATATGAAATTGAAATATTATTACTATTTAGTGATTTTTTTTGTTTTATTCAAAAGCAACCTCCAAAATAATGTAAAGATTTGACAAATTTATTCTGAATTCAAGATAGGTTAAAAACTAAGAAAATCACACATCCATTTATCCTTACAGAAACCCGAATTCTCACCACTCTTTCAATAATCTAAAAGCTGTCCGAATTTCAATAACTAATTTCACATTGATCATTAATTAAGGTGCTAATTAATTCTTTGAATTTATTCACATTAATACTTGGGCCACCCACAATTCTGAGTTTCTAGTACTGAGAATCTAATTGGGCTACAGATTAATTAAAAGCCCAAATTTTCACCGTCCAAGGCCCTTTCATAGCCCACATAACAAGATAATGATATTGCCATGTCATCAAAAGCAAAGGTCCATGTTGCAGCAACGGGCAGCACGGTCAGCAACAAAACCTGCCCGGAAATCCACAATGCCAATTTCACTCCATCACACACAACATTCTTCCCAAAATATGAACTTTTAAATATGGGCAGCTTCATCAAGCCTATAACTCTAATTCATGCCCAATTCATTGCATCCCGGAACCGTCACCGGACTCAATCAATCCCAGCAAGCCCCCGGGCATCGCTATCCGATGACAAACAGAATCTGACCCACCGGCGAAAACTTGTGACAACATTTTTGGCCACTTCACTAGCACTTGGGCTACATGCCACACCAATGGCACTAGCGGAGAACTGGGGCACACGTTCATTTCTCAAGGAGCGTTTCTTCGAGCCCGGGTTGTCGCCGGAGGACGCGGTGGCAAGAATCCGGCAGACGGCCGAGGGACTCCACAGCATAAGGGACATGTTGGAGACCATGTCTTGGAGGTATGTGTTGTTCTACATTCGTTTGAAGTCCGCATATCTTTCTCAGGATATGAAAAATGCAATGTCTATGGTCCCAGAAATCAGGAGAAAGTCCTACGTTAAAACAGCCAATGAGTTAGTTGATAACATGTCTGAGGTATGCCACAATCTTAATACTTGTGCCATAATGTTCTTAATTTTCATTGTATTTATATTTAAGATCCATTTATATGTTCTCATAAATATATGAAATTTTCATTCAATTAATTAACAAGTGAGGTGTTTTTTTTTTATTTCAGTTTGATTATTACGTTCGAACGCCAAAAGTGTATGAATCTTATGTGTACTATGAGAAGACATTGAAATCGATAGATGAACTTGTGGCATTACTTGCATGATCAAGCTGTGACCAGTTGTTTCAGTGTTTCTTGGGGACTTCGATGATATAATTCCTAAACCTTTCTCGGAATTTAAAGTGTTGCAAGAAATCTTGAATGGTATGATGTTTTATGTTAAATTATGAGAATTATTTCTTGATTTCTGTGTAATACTTATGAAGATTGAAGAAACAGAGTAGCTTCTACTGCTTAATAGGAAATGCAGTAAATTTTCAGAATGTAAAATGATTTTTTTTTTTTTTTTTATTTAAAAAACTAATTTTTGAACCTATATAAATTTTTAATTATATATATCTAACCAATTCTGAATGTAGAATATTTATTACAGATTCAACTGACACTTCAGCATATACTGGACAATTCACACGATTCCACAAACATCCATGAAATTCAAGTTAATGTGCATTCTTTAGGAAAGTCAAAATTACTTGATTTAAATTTTTTTTTGTTCGAGGATTGTGAAATTATACCTCTAATAACATTTCATAATTCCTAATCACATGCTCGTAATCTTAAGGGAATTTGAACTCTCAACCTTCAGCATTTGAGGTCCTTAAAATTGTGTTTTATTCGTTAATGAGTCATTTTTGTACAAATAATAGCAAAGGTTGTGTTTGTACCCAATCTATCTTTTCAAGTCTAGGTAATTTGCTTATTGTTGGGATTTAGAAGTCAGAACATTTTGTGTTTGGTCGTGGAGAAAACAGTGTTAGAGGCTAAAACATGCAAATTTGAACTACTTTTCTCTCTTTTTCAAGCCAAAATTTGGCATGTTGGAGCATCATTTTCAATTTTCTGAGAATATTTTTTAGTTTTCAGATAGTATTTAAAAAGTGAAAACAGTTCAAAATTTCATTTATATACAGTATTTTTTTTTTTTATAAAACTACAATATAAAACAAAGGTTACCAGGATCAACCTTATAGAACATTGTTTCTTAATTTTTTTAGTATTTTAACTTGGAAGTACATGTGTGCATGAGTGCCACATATTTTTGTTATTTCAAAGTTGAATGAGTATGATTCTTTAGAACTTGCATATTCTGAATCCCCTTATAATGTTCTCTAGGAGGTTATTTAATGGTTGTTATGATTGGAAAACTTTCCCGAGCTTTCGTGCCTATTAATCCAATGGTATAATCTCTTTATCCTAAACAAAGGCAGGGTAATGTGTATACACATGGAGCAATTGCCAATTTTTTTCTTTTTAGTAATCTACCCTTATTATAATTTGTTCATTTTCAATAATATATCCATGAAATATTACATTCCCCCCTCTAAATTGCTAAAAAAATGCACTACTGCCTCCCAAAATTCATTTTTGTCTCCCTTACGTTACATCCCGACTCCATCCCTATACACATGCGAGAACTTACCTGATAAAAAATAAAAATAAAAATTTAAAAATTCAAATAAAAAGAAAAAATATCCTGAGCTTGCCATTAATTTTTATAATATTAATCAATTTACTCATCAATTTCGATTGTAGAACCTCCTAAAAGTACACAAAACACTATGTTCTATCATCTCTATGCAGATTACTAATCAAAGTCCAAAACCCAAAAGAGAGAAAACCCAGGTGAGAACACTTGATGGTAGATAATTGAATGCTAATATTTACAACATTAAGCACAATTTTTTTTTCCTAAATCAACATTAAGCACAATTTGATATATAATTTATGAATATATCTATCATTTTTAAGACCATAGAACAACCAGAAAGTAAAAAAACACTATGTTCTCTTGTAGACGTAAATATGTATTTAATACAAGAATAACAAAAGATCAAAGTGAGTGTTTTACCTATCTGATTAATCACCGGAGATCGCCGGAGAAGAAGATGAAGTGTATCGAATTGAGTGTTTTCCCACACCTTGGACTGAAAGAAGTTAGGTATTATTAATTGGGATCATCCCAGTACTCAATCCTCCTCTAATGATTTATGAAGCAACATATAATCGAGGGGAAGACCCAAATAGGTGGCAACCCAGTGCCAACCATCATCTTTAACGAATGCAGTGAAGGTGTAAGGGTTGTCGTTTAAGATGATGGTTGGCACTGGGTTGCCACCTATTTTCTGATATGACAGCAGTGAAAGAGCAATAACTGTCCAAAAATCACTTCCTCTAATGATTTTTTATTATTGCCTTTTATACTAAGCATGGTCCCCAACCTCGTACTTCCAGGAAGCTTCAGTCTTGGGGTGCTAATCCTCTGAAGTGATTCCCATTGGGTCCTGCAGTGGTCCCTTGCTGCTTCAAGGTGATTTATATTTGGGCATGTCCTTCGCATTTAACACGTTTTGCAATTACAAAAAAGTGAAATGTTACCATTTGACCACTATTTATAAGTAAATATTATAAGAGTTTAAAAAGTAACATCATTGGTTAAAAAATGAATAAAAAATCATTAGAGGAAGTGATTTTTGGAGCTGCCTTATTGCTCTTCCACTACTGCCATATCAGAAAATAGGTTGCAACCTATTATTATTCACTTCCTCTAATGAATTTTTGTTCATTTTCGAGACAAGATCGAGTACTGGAGATGACCCAATTAATAATACCCAACTTCTTTCATTCCAAGGTGTGGGAAATTCCTCTGCTGTGTGTGTGTGTAAGGATGTGGGAAATTCCTCTTGTGTGTGTGTGTGTAAGGTGTGGGAAATTCCTCTGGTGTGTGTGTGTGTAAGGATGAGCCTTAACATTGACTTTTATAAGCATTGTCTCCAACCTTATATTTCCAGGAAGCTCCATTCTTGATTTCAAAGCAGAAGATACAGCAATTTCCAGGAAGTGTCCATTATATCAATCAAAGCAAATTAAAAACAATGCACAAGGTCCAAACAAGCCGGCCAAAGAAAAAACAATGCACACGGTCCAAAATGTCAGCCGCAAACAGTGACAGTGATAAGGAGTTAGATTCTTTTATTCATTTTCGAGACAAGATTGTGTAGTGGGGATGATCCAATTAATAATACCCAACTTCTTTCATTCCAAGGTGTGTGAAATTCCTCGTGTGTGTGTGTGTGTGTGTGTGAGAATGAGCCTTAACATTGCCTTTTATACTAAGCATTGTCTCCAACATTGTCTTTCCAGGAAGCTCCATTCTTGATCTAAAAGCAGAATATACAGCAATTTCCAGGAAGTGTCCATTATATCATTTAAAGCAAATTAAAAACAATGCACACGGTCCAAACAAGCCAGTATCAACCAAAGAAAAAAAAAAAATGCAAGCCGCGGTTTATACCTTGACCTTGACTACACCTAAATTCACACGATTCCAAAATCGAACATTATTCATAGAGAGAGTGAAGGAGTAAAATGTAGTAGTATATCTGTATCCATTCTTTCTTTAATGTCTTTTATTTCTGTTACATGAAATTGTAAAATTGCTTTGCAAGTTGTATTTTCAAGCAACTGTACAAAAAGTCACACACTTTTGAATATAAAGCACGAAGATACGTGAAGATAAGATATACTGTATATAACTTATAGATACACACATAAATGATCATCAAATACACACAGTCACACAGATGAAATTGGCAGTCCCCTGAAGACAATTAGTGTCGTGACAATGCGAAGGCCGACAGAGGGATTAGTATTATAAACATAACGATGGAACAAAAAGAGCCGATCAAAGCTCCAGAAGTGGTTTGGCAGAAGTTCTGGAACTGTTGGCATATCGGGAACCAGTTTGCTGAAGCGTTCCCATTGTGTAACAAGTATACGATGGTTACTGCTGCTGAAGCCGCCGCGGTGAGAAGACTCACCATTGCCTTCACAATGTTAGAGCAAGATCCATAAGAATCTCAAGATTACTCAATTAACTTCTTCTTTTTCCGATAATTGTGGTACGTCTCATAACATTTCATAATTCACCATCGGTTATATGTAGTCCCCAATTCACATGCACGTGGTCCAAGGGAATTAGAATCCCCTTGAAGTTGTGTTTCGTTGGTTAATAATGAGTTTCTTTTTTCTTTTTTTTATAAATAATAGCAAAGGTTGTGTATGTCCACAATCTACCTTTTCATGAAGTCTAGGTAATTGCTCCTTGTCGGGAATTAGAAGTCATAACATGTATTTAGTCATGGACAAAACAGTGTTAGGAGCTAAAAACCTGCAAATTCAGAACTACTTTTCTCTATTTTATAAGCCAAAATTTGGCATGTTGAAGCACCCTTTTCTGAGAATATTTTTCAGTTTTCAGACTATCTAGAAAAGTAAAAACAGTTCAAAATTTCATTTATAGACAGTTTTCTATGACTACATGCAATATAAAACACTACAAAATAAAAAGAGGTTAATTGGATCAACTTTATAGAACATTGTTTCTTAATTTTTTAGAATATTTGAACTTGGAACATATTTTTGCTATTTCTAAGTAGAAAGTGTATGATTCTTTAGAATTTGCATATCCGGAATCACCTTTAAATGTTCTCTAGGAGGTTATTTAATGATTTTTATGACTCGAATCTTTCCCGAGTTTTCCAATGGTCATTAGTCCAATAGTATAACCTTCACTACAACAAACCAAACATTTTGCGGACCAAACTAAAAAAGTCACAAAATATTTGCAACCAAAATGATTTGGTTGTAAAATTTAAGGTTTTTGTGATTGAAGTAAATTTTGGTCTTAAAATTTAAAATCTAAGGTATTTGCGATTGAAGTCACAAATACTCAAAGAGGGGAAGGTTTTCGATCCCCTACATGGGCAATGTTTGTGCGTGCTAGTATTTACCGGATAAAAATTTTAAAATAAAAAACATAAAAATAAATGAATGAATAAATAAAGAGAAAATTTTGTGAGCTTGCTAAACAAAATTATAAGAAACATCATCTTACCGTATCAAGGATGATCAATACGAGCCTACTGGTTCTTACTCCACTCCTGATAATGTGGAAGCTGGATAGTGGGAGAGAGACGATAACAAGATATGCACATACTATGGAATTGACAATCACAAACAACCTGCAGTTTGGCAGAACACACACACACACACACATATCTATATATCAAAATGTTATATACATACATATATAATTTTAATTTCAAAATGAAAATCGATACTCACACGAAGGTATCAATATCATTGTATTGAGCATTGAATCGTACGAACTGCGTGACAAAAGGAAGCGTCTCCTGAGAAGTTCCCATGGACGCAGCACTTGCTAGAGTTCCAATGGCTGCGAAAATTCGGAGAATGAGGTCCACTATGGACACCCCTCTGCTCACACCTTTTGTTGGGGTTGAAACCTTGGAGACCTCACCAGCTTCAAGTGGTCCTGATTTCATCTTCTTCTGTTTGAAGTTTTAGTACTGCTATGAGATGGTGAAGCTTGGTTTTAGCTTAACACTGTTTGAATGAAGTGAGGGGTAAGGTACAAATTTATACTAAGGGAAAATTGCATAAAACTCCTCCACTTTTAATTTTTGGCACAAATCCCCTACAAAAAAAAAATTTGACGTAAAACCCCCTGAACTATTCAATTATTGCAAAGTGATGTTATAATGACGAAAATGCCTCCCTTTTTAATTTTTAAAAAATAAAATTTAAGAAAATTTTGAAATTTGTTACAAGGAGTTTTTACTTTCTTATTATAGATTGCACCATTGAATTTTTTATTTTTTATTTTGGAAAATAATTGTCGAATGAGTTATTTGAATTAATATTAATCTTAATCTTATATTAAAGAGCACCATTTTTAAAAAATATATATATTAAGGGGTATTTTCGTTATTATAACATCACTAACAAGACCGTTTAGGGAGTTTTAGGTCAAAATAAATTTGTAGGAGGGTTTTGTGCCAAAAATTGAAAGTGGAGAGATATTTTTATGCAATTTGCATATTATACAAATTAGCTTAGCAAAGCAAGATCATCTCAAATAATCCAACAATAAGCCTCAGCAGTTTCTAGTGGTCCTGACTTCATTTGCTCCTCTCTTTTTTAAATTATTATTATTATTATTTTTTATTTTTGGTTATTATTCTCTTTTTCTTTTTGAAGCTTTAGTACTGCCATGAGATAAAGATTAGTTTGCTCACACTCTTTTAAAGAGGTGATGAAGTAAGGTATGCATTTATACAAATTAGCTTATCAAAGCAAGTAATATCATCTCTAATAATCCAAGAATGTAACACCAATCAATGTAAGTGTTAGGTTTGGTAAATCTTTAGTGAGCAATGATTCCCACTTCTTTAATTAAGCACATACTATGTGTGTAAATTTTGTGACATGTTATTAGTATTCTAGAACTATACCTGCTCCTACTTGCTCCATCTCATGTCATATATAATGTGTCATTGTTTATTCCAACACCATCATCAAAATATTCCATGATGGTTAGTGACATGGCTTGTTACAATTTTTAGTACTAATCAACAATCAATGAAGTAGCCTTGTGATCAAGTCTCACTAATGTTCTAAAATTAAAGTAATGAAAGTTCAAGGGTATGTCTGCATTTATATTTAGGGGACTGGAGGTTTTAACCATAAAACCTACAATGGACAGTGGACTGGAGGTGTGGAGGCCCTGTGCAACCAAACACAAGGACAAGGAATAGTATGTTGTTTCCGTTACCCTGTAAAGTCCGAACTGGGCTGTTCTTATACCACTTAAAACAAGTCGAGCTCTTGTTATCTAATTCAGAAACTTAAATTATTAGGTTGTGCTATCTATCTACTATTACCAAAACATTTCCGGTCCGGATTTGGCGTGGGACAGTAACAACTAATATGTAACTGGATATAACATTTATCAAAAACACTTCGGGAATAAGTGATATAGAGGTTCTCTCCCCTCAAGGGAATTTATCATGGGGCATGTCCAATTAATGGACATGTATGTTTTTTTTATTGAAAACTCATCATTTCTCGTGTATGAAGATAAAAGTTTTCATGACTATCCATTGGCTCAAGGCTGTCAGTTATTATTATCAAAGCAATATATGAAGATTTGGATGATTAATCAAGTACATGGTTTTGGACTATTGAAATTTTGAGTCCTAAATATTTAGGGACACATTGGTGGAAAATACTCTAATTAGAGATCCTTCATGCACTGCCAGGATGAGTAGAATGATCGGATCTAATTCAACAGCACGTCCAAATTTAGTAATCAATTTGTTATACAGGATTCATATATATAATATCAAGTAAGTCTCCATTTAAAAATACATTCTTGACATCGAATTGATGTAGAGGCTAAGAATGTGCAGCAGCTAAGGAGACAAACAGTCATATTGACTTCAACTTTGCCATGCAAATATTCCCGAGGTACCTCGTAGGTGGAGGTTTTGTCAAAAACAAATCTAGGCCCAGATAGAACGAACCGACAAGCCCAAATGGCAGGACCAAACCCAGCAAAAACTCTCAGGCCTCTGAAGGCCCAACTCTAGGCCCATGAAGACACTCCTATGATCATATCCCACCTAGCCCTCAAAGAGAGAGCCCATATTCTCCTGTAGTTTTAGAACGCAACCTTTGCGTGGAGACATTTGGAAGCGGGACTTGCCATTTGCTCTGGAATTCGATACACTTCTTCTCCGGCGATTCTCCGGTGGTTAATCAGATAGGTAAAACACCCACTTTCATCTTTGTCCTTCTTGTACTAAATAAATATTACTTTCTGGTTGTTCTATGGTTTTAAAAGTGATAAATATATTCATAAATTATATATCAAATTGTGCTTAATCTTGTAAATATTAGCATTCAATTATCTACCATCAAGTGTTCTCACCTGGGCTTTATCTGTTTTGGGTTTTGGACTTTGATTGGTAATATGCATATAGATGATAGAATATAGTGTTTTGTGTACTTTTCGGAGGTTCTATAATTGAAATTGATGAGTAAATTGCTTAATATTATAAATATTAATAGTCAATTATCTATTATTTCATCTGGGTTTTAGAGTGTGAAGAAAGAAAAAAATAAAATAAATAAATAAAAATCCAATTGCAGCACAATTTGGATTTTATCAAATAAAAAAAGGGAACCATGGCATCAAATGTTTGAATTTTGGACTATCTTAGTCAAAAATTATATATATGACATATATGTTTCTTGATTTATGAATTTTACTAGATTTTGGACTGTTTTATCAATATATACTATAATGCCTTTTTGTGTTGAAAGTCCTATATATCACTTGACTTAGGCTTAATTTTATTTACTTAAAAATTTTAAATATTTAAAATAAGTAGAGCGGCCAAATCTTCCTTGAAGTATTCACCTAAAAAGGCCATCAGTCGTGCTGGTATAGCCTATGCAGAGCTGGGGAAAGGCCGAAGACAGACTTAACTTCTTCTTTTCTTTTTCTTTTTTTCATAAAAGACAGACTTAACTTTATCATTGTATTGTACTCATCCTTGAATTATTTAATTCAACACATAAATTGTAGTAGCTACTTTTAGCAATTTTTTTTTAATCGTTTATAATATTAATTTTGGATTTTACGGTTGCTGATATGGTAATGTTGCTCATTTGCAGTATTGTTTTGGTCAAATTAATATGCATATTGCTAAGTTAGTATTGTTTGTATTATTCTAAAAATACTTCTCTTGCTCTGGGATGGGGGATGGGGGAGGAGGTGAGAGTGAGCCTTCCTATCCGTCTGAGACCTGGTCATGTCACCAAAATATTATTTGGTGAGTTGACACCATTTGATTTTGTCATGCCTCCTCTTTGGAACCTTTAACTGTTGCATGACCGGGTTTCAGATGTGAAGATCCAATGTCACAATATTTCATATAGACTTGAGCTATGCACCATATAGCGAGCTAATCTTATGCATTTGTATTGCAAACAAGTAACAAAACAAGTAAATATCGATTATGTGATTCATCAAGTACATGACTGGACCGAACTGATTTTTAAGTTCTTTTAAGCATAGATTTTGAAGGGAGGTGAGTGTCAATGCAAAGGCCTAGGAGGAATCGTTGTTGCGCAGAATCCTCCTGTGAGGTTACTGTTAGAAACCTCCACCAAGGTTTATGTGATCATCGTGATGCCTTTATGTAACACAATTGGAAAGTGAATAGGTGACACTGGTTATTACTTGATTTGTATATTCAACTCGAATAGCAGTTACTTTGTACAAATAATGTCGAATGTTAGGTATGTGCTCAATTTACCTCTCCCACCACTCAGCTTTGCTACATTAGGTAATAGTCTTTTGGTCTTTTGCATGCATGGTTTAATTCCTATTTTATCAGAGTGAAATGGTAATAAAGATGCTTGAATCTGCTATTAAGTCATCTATTTACTGTTGCAGATCTCTTTAAGGTGTGCAAAATGTCGGTTGCAAAAAGTGACAGTGTTAAGGAGTTAGATTCTTTGGATGGTATTGAGGCAAACAGCGACGGTGATAAGGAGCTAGATCATGTGGACACTAATGACAATCAAGCAGATGCCAAAACTTCTGCGGGAGATCCAAACCAGTTGGAGATAAGTGAAGAAAATCCCGTGCCCTCCCATCAGCAGGAGGTAATAAGTAATGCTGAGGCATTTGCATTTCATGATTCTGATTAATACATTTTTAGGAAAGCCCCGAGGACTGGACAAGCCATCATTGAAACTAGTGTTTTTTTTTTTTGCCATTAATTGGTACTCACACACACGTCTCTTCTAAGACTTGAACCCCTGACCTCCCTTTGAGAAGTAAGAGGCTGATACCGCTAGGTCACTGAACCGTTGGTCATTGAAACTAGTTAAAAAATGCTGCCTGTTGTCTGGTTCACCATAACACATGAAGATATGTTCGAAAATGGTATATTTATGGAAATTTTTGTAAAAAAAAAGGTCCTTGTTGGCTCTTACTTCATGATTCTCTGGTAGATCTTCTGGACTCAATGATATGTTCAAAGCTGGGCTAAAATGTTGTGACAGCATTCATCCAGCATAAAATGTGAAAAACTTTACATGATTGTCTAAAATTCTGTTCGCATTGAGGTTTCCCAAATCTCCTTGCATCCAGTTATGATCTAGCATTCTTGATTGGCATAACTCCAATCAATTGGTGTTTGAAATAGTGTTGTTTTGATGAAGATGATGATGATTCTTTTTTTCCCTCATTTTTAGGAGAATGTAATCAAGAAAAAGTATGGAGGAATGTTACCAAAAAAACCACCATTAATATCCAAGGTAACTGCCCTTTCATCATTATTTGATTACTCATGGACACTATTCAGATTGAACTTGTGTGATTTATCTTAAGCTGCATCGAGCCCTTAACTCAAGCGATGTCTCTTCCTTCTTCCATGAGGGAGGTTGAGAGTTCAAGTTTGGACATCGTGGGTGCGTGCTCTTATTTACAAAAAAAAAACAAAGAAGAAGTGATTTATCTAATTTAGTTAATTTATTGCCAGGACCATGAACGTGCTTTCTTTGATTCTGCAGATTGGGCATTGGGAAAGGTACTTGAACTTTATTTGCAACTCTAATTTTGTTAGCTAATGATAACCCTTTCTAAATAGAAAAATTCAAAACTTTGTGACATCCCAACTGTACGGGGTGTCTCATAGAGGTAGTGGTGGGCCCTACCTACTGTGGTGGGGGACCCACCACTATTAAAGACACCTGACAAGTCGGGTGTCGCAATGTGTACCATTGCTCTTTCCAATTAGAACAATACTATTGACATTGTGAACTTCAACCTAAGTCCTCGGTTGAATAACATGCATCCGTTAGATGTATATACATTGAGATTCAAAGTTGGGTCCCATTGTATGCATCTCACGGATGCAATTTATTCTACTGAGTAATTAGGTTGAAGTCCTCCGTGTAAGAATCATTATCCTTCCAATTAAAGATCTTGTTTTCGAGAGCTCCCATGCTTAAATGCCTAACATTTTTTATGCGAGGACAGAAGGCCAAAGGACCACTAGAGGCTCTCCGCCCAAAATTACAGGTACTTAAATCTTTCACTGGTATTGATTTTTTTAATGCTGCAAACATTAACCTTTTCTTCAACCATTTATGATTCATGTCTCTAGATAGAAAAATAAAAGCACCCATTCTCTTTGTACAATGCACCTATTATTGTTGTAAAATACTATGTAAGGATTGCCTTCTAATGTTCTTGCCTGTATACATTTTTGTATATTATAACATTGGGACAAAACACACTTCTCAACAAGTTTTAATACCTTGACCTTTGAAAATTAACAGATAATCCTTTCTTTTTCAAAAGTTTAAGCAAACTCACACACAACCACAATATTTGCTCGTAGAGCTCTAACACTAGACCTTATCTTAATGTCCATTGGTGACAAAAAATTTCATGGTGTAACTCTTATTCTATTTCTTTCTCATGAATGTTTTATTATCAGCCCACGCCGCACCAACAACCCCGTGCAAGACGTGAAGCTTATGCCACGGCAGTCAATGGTGAAGGTATGTTAAACCATTGCCCACCTTGCGGTATTTGATTTTCATCTCTCTTTCTTTCCGTACTAAACTCGGCTTCATTTCCTTTCCACCAGAGGATGTTGGTAACGACGATACTACTCTTGATGATCAGACCTGCACAATGGATGCAGGAAGTAACAACGCTGCACATTCCGATGGTCAGAGCTGTTGCAAGTAGCTTTTAGTGATCACACTCTTGGTGGCATTTTCTCAAGCCAGAAGCTTAGCATGAGACTGTTAGTCCTAAAATAAGCAAGCAATAATGTATTTATTGCTATATCACTGAACCATAAAACAACTCCGTAATAGCAAATTTGCATTGATCAGGTTATGTCACCAATGAGCATTAGCTCAGATACTATGGCCTTTCCCTTTGAGGAGGGGGAGAGATTGAGTGTTTAAACTATATTTTGTGCAGTGGAGCCACCTTGGGTCCAGACTGTTCGGTGGGGAATTTCGAGTTATTTGGGGCATGCTTGGTTTGTAACTCTAAACAGTTTTTAGAAATTCAGAAAATAGATAATAGTTTTTAGAGAACTATAAAAGATTGTTCTTTGAAAAAAGTCATTTTTATAAAGGTAAAGTGCAATAAACTCCCCTCAACTATACCCCAATAAGCAAAAAAAAAAAAAAAAAGCAAAAAAAACCCCTGAATTTTTAAAGTAGCAGAAAACCACCCTATACTTAGTTGTTTGGTTGCAACTTACCTCCAGTGACCCACGGATCATTTTTTAAGGTTTGTCTGGCACGTGATTTGGTATATTTGTTTAAAGGACCATACAGCCCTTGTTGACCACTCAATAGTCCAATACCCACCAAACAATCCTTACACCTTCAAAAAAAAAAAAAAAAAACCCCATCGATGAGGTCGGGATGAAGAAGACAGGCTTTTTCTGCTGCTTGTTAGCCTTGTGTTCATAGTTCAGGCAAGATTCAGGCTCACTGGTGAATGAATGTGCAGGTATTAATTCAAAAGAAGATGAAGGCGAGTTCCTATGATTAGCCTTTGGCAGTAATGGTATGATTCAGGATCACCATGAACGAACAACACCACTATCTCAAAACATTTTTCGATCAATCTTTTGTTTTCCTCAATCCACCTCAAGCCGAGAAGAAAAAAGAAAAGTCTGATTTGGTGCATGATGGGTCTAAGTCGTGATGCAACTCTATTATATATATATGTATGTATCCAGAAACCCCAATTCAATAACACCTGATTCAGGATGCCATTCAGAATCTGATAGACAAAAATAAATTGGCACCTCGTTCGATTTCACCATCAAGCTTGACCATGCCTTGGATCCAATTGTTGATCCCCAAAGCCCAATAAAGCCTCAAAACTTGTTGTGATTAACCCACCGGAGTGCACAGTTTCCACAAGGACAGAGGATGTGATTAACCCATCACCTGATTACGTGCTCAGTTAAACCCGATACAACCCTTGGAAATAATTCCTACCGAACCTCACCGCACGCCGTCAAACCCAATTGAAACCACAAACCCACTGCCACAACCACCATCATCGCCACCACCATTTGCCACGACCTTCTATCTCTATCGCCTTGGAAACTCAAACTTTTCATTCTAATCCACAAACCCACTGCCCACCACCACCATTGCCTCCTTCTCGCACATATATTCTGTTATTGAACCCAACAAACCAGATGCCTCTCCTTCTTCGGTGATGCAGTCGGTGTACTTTTTCTTGCTCGATACAATCATGAGGACGAATTGCTCCGGCGTATTTTCAGAAACCCTTTTAATTGATGGCCATCACACCTTCGGGCAGTTCAGAGTTCTCTCTCTGGTTCTTTCTTTCTCTCTCAACGCATTTCTCTCTATCTCTATTTGTGGTTTGATGAGGGGTAAAATGGACTTTTTAAATTTTTGGTGATAAGAGATGACCGGAATAACCTTCTCTGTCCTAAGACCACACCAAGACCATAATTGAGAGATGTTATTTGTAATTGAGGGGGGTTAGTTGCACTTGGGTATGGTTAAAGGGGGTTTATTGTACTTTACCCTTTTTATAACTTAGTTTTCAGAAAATTGAACCAAACAGTATTTTTTGTATTGTTTTTAGTTTTTCGAGAACATAAAACGGTTTTCATAATTACAAATCAAGCAAGTCCTTGTATTTGATACATATAAATTTTGATAATTATGAAAGTACCCCCACTGAACTCGAAAAAAAAATTTCCATAGGACCTTAACAAAAGCCTTTCAAATTCCGAAAAACCCCTTATTTTTTAACTCATTTGCCTTCCCAAGAATCCTTATTTTTTTAAAACTCATTTGCCTTTCTAAGGGAGTGGTTGAGTGTTTTAAGCCATACTAGGAACATTATTGTGCAGTGGCGGGCAATTACTTTTGAGTTATTTGTATTTTTTATATATAAATTATCATAATTATGAAAGTAACTCCTGAACTAAAAAATTTACATAGGACCTTAAAAAAATAAAATAAAAATAAAATTAGAAAAACACCTACAAAATTCAACTCATTTGCCCAACAAAATTTTCAAAATTAAAATTTTTAAAAATCAAAATTTAGAAATAAAAACCCCTTTAGTTATTTATTAATTTGGTTCAAATTTTTCAATAGCATTACGCTGTGTTTGGAACTTTACTTTAGGATGGAAATTGGATTTATGGTATTTTAAAAAGGAATGGGGGATTTGATAGAATTTAAAAGGAAAATTTGTAATTTAGAGAAAAAAAATATGGTAGGATTTGGCACGTAATACCAAAATTATCCTTCTATTAACAAACTATTAGGTTTCTCATTCTACCAACTTTTTTGTAACTGGCACGTATCTTTACCCAACTTGGTATAAAAACTATTTTATTACTGTTATACCCCAAAATTTCTAACACAAGAACCTTGATTTATATTAAAATTTGTTACATGACTCATATAATTCATCCACAATAATCCACGATTAAATCACTAAGAATAAATTTTATTTTAAAAAAATCCATCAATACAAAAAAAAAAAAAAAAAAAAAAAAAAAAAAAAAAAAAAAAAAAATCTATTACATCCACTAACAAAATAAAATTCCACCAACTAAGTGAACCTTATTACAAAATGTTTTGCTAATAAACAACAATAAAATCAATATATGGAAAATCTGACCTCCTTTACCAGCTAAATCCATATGCACCTGAAAGTGATAAAGGGGTGAACCCACTAGCTCAACAAGAAATTATTAAACACTATTATCGTTTAACAAGTCAATCCTTACTTAAAATCCATATATATATACATATATAAGTGACCACGAAATATCTACAAATCATCAAACCATCCAATAATTATATTGACTTAACTACAATTGTGTCAACTATGATGTCATTTTATAACATTACTCAACTTGTGAACTCGTAACCCATCTATATATAAATTACTAAAATTTTGCTTACCTCACATGAGCCCCGGAACTCCACCCAGTTGGTGTTCTATTGCCATTATCTCACATAATACAAACATTAATCTCACATCCACAATATATAAATCAGAGATATAATAAATTCCATAGCCATAGATCATGTTTATAGATCACAAGGATATCAATTCATATAATTAAATTATCTCACATAAGCCCAGGCTCCACTCCAATTAAATGGTGTGAATTGCATAGTCCCGCACTACCAAATACACACATGTGGCTGAGTTGTACGTCTACTCATCCAGATGGTCCCTGACCACGTCCATATACTAAGGGCACCTTTAGCCCAATGGCGATAACAAAAGGATAATTCACTCCCATAGAGTGTCCTTGACCGAACTTCGCAAAATCATTATTGGGTTAGTCCCAGACTATATCTCTGTTAAATTCAATTGTCTCAGTTAAAAACCAAAACATTGCTTAATTTAATTAATCCTCCTTCACCTTTAAAATAACCCTAACTCATAAGTCAATGAGTTCATCAAGCATCTTAAATGGTTAATTACATAAATAAATAAATAATAAATGCTGTAATATAGACCTAATTTATATACTGCCGGCTTATACCATAATACTCTCCCTCAATAACATTAAATTTGTTTTGCCATTAAGTGTACTCACCTTCCTCAATACCAAGGATATTGATGAACTATAGTTGCCAATTGTCCATCAACCTACTCTGCCAAAGCTTATTTTCCTCTATCCCGTACCCAATTAATCATGTACTTATCATTACATTCAATCATCTCAGTCGTAAGTCACATGTGTCTTTCCTTAGACTTTTCTACACTACTGACATTGATTAATTAAAGCATTTTCTACATCTTTCCTCTCTCTGTACTTCTCTATTTTCCTTTAAATATCACCCATGGGCAAGGACAGAGCCAGAATTTTTGTTCGGGGGCACATTGTACACTAAATACATATAAATTAGTGTTTATAGATAAAGAGAAATAGGTGGATATATATAGAGATTGATATTTTTGGAATGATGTAAATTAATAAATTATATATATATAATTCAGGAAGGGAGCCTTTTTTACACATTTTCAAAAAAATATACACATATTATAGGAAAGTATATATATAAAATAAGAGAAGCCCCTGGTCTATACCGGCTCTGTTACTACCCATGGGACAAAACCAACATTATATCCCTATAATACTCCATATACAACTAAAACCAAATCCACCTTTTGTATAAACAAAACAAACAAAATGTAACTAATCACCTCCATGTGAGGTACATCAACCAAACCAAAGAATTTTGGTCAAATAATTTTAGTGGGTCCGGCCACATCATTATTACCCTTATTTCATTCCAATTCTTCTCCACCTTCCACGGATTTTTTACTCCCCTTTTTTCCTTATCCTTTAAACAAAATACCAATAACCCAAAATCAATTCCCGAAGATTGAGACTTGCCCCTTGCTAGCGGGTTGATTCAATAAAAGCTAGCCCCGAATCTTAAATACACATATAAACGAAACAACTTTTCATAACCAAAATGAATGAAAGTCAAACAATTCCTGAGGCTTATACAACAAGCAACAAGACTTTTTATAAGCTAAACATAACATATCCAAAGTCCAATTAACTAACTCTCCAATCATAATTAAACAATCAATTTTGACAACTAAAAATAATAAAATAAATATAAATTGAAAATTTAATCAATCTTACAGTTAAATCATAGATAATAATCTAACAATTAAGATATAAATAAATAAGCTTTTCTTCGGCAATGAACGTGTAAAAATCATTGGCAACGTAAGTAAAAAAAAACTAAATATAACTAAATTTAGACATATATATATATATATATATATATATATATATATATTGGTTGAGTTCAATAAGAACTCTTCTAAATTTCAAAATAAACTAAATGATAACTCTGTTATCTCCTTTTAAATACAATCACTTATCTAAACATCAATGTAAATAACCGGAGCTCCACCCCTCTCCCCGTTTTCATCACCAGAAACAACATAAACAGCCATCGGCAATGAATGGTCAAACTATATGCGTCCATATATATATATATATATATATATATATATATATATATATATACTGTAATACTTATTTATGGGGTATTACATTATTTTATTACAAATAAGAGTCCGATGCAATTTCTTTTTTAATTCCAGTTTCAAATACCAAAAAATTTGGACCTATTTTATTACAAATAAGAGTCCGATCCAATTTCCTTTTTAATTCCAATTTCAAATACCAAAAGATTTGGACTATGTACATTGTTTGTTTCCCCACCCTATATTCTTCGGCTTTGATTGTGAAGATGCAATAATTTTCTCTCTCTAAACTGACAGAGTTTCATTACACTTCAAAAATTTTGATCCCCCTCTCCTTTACTTACTGCATATTTATAGATTGTTTACTGTGTTCTAGAAGATTTTTAACTAACTTTCTCCATTGGGCTTGTCCTCCAAGCTTTTATAACCATGGGCCCGAACACCTTTAAGGGCCTCCAACTTCACTCTTCAGCATTGGGCATGCCTGATGACAGCTTAATTCGGGCCAGGTCATTTACCAGGCCCATTCTTCATCATGTGGGTTGGATCCAGCCCATGCCGCCTTTGGTATCCTCAACTGCCCCCATAATCACTCCCTCATTAATTAGGGTGTGATTATCAATTAAGCTAATGATGACCTGACGGCTAATGGTGACTTGACGGCTTGAGACGATCACGTGAGGCATTAAGCGGTCGACCTCGGAATAAATGTCTTTGAAATTTGAATCCCCTTAACTTCCTGACGTCTCGGTTAGCGAGACCACTTCCCCTTTATATATTGCTCTTTTATATCCACAGCTTCCCTTGTCGTACCCTTCACATCTTAGGGCAACTCAGATCTTCTCTGGTCAAACCAAATCTCCTCCGGCGAATCCAGTGAAAGGTTCTTCTTTCTCAACTCCTTTGCAACATCCTTTGCTGCTCTCAGTCCTTTCAAGTTAGTTCCACTTTTTCTTCTTCTTAAAATATTTGTATATTTCCCCCAAGGATCATAATCGTTGACATCATACCTATTGATTTGGATATTCTGCGCATGAAACTCCATCTCTCTTCAAACATTCACCTTAGAGAATGCCCCAAAGACGTAAATATTAGAACTGGTGCCGGCCTCCTTCCCAGCGAAACCTTGTTTTCCTTTCATCATCTCAACGTTATTAGATTCCCTCTACACCCTTTCTTCTGCTATGTGTTCAATAGGTTTAACCTTTTTCCTCTCCAAGTTAACCCCAATTTTTTTAGGGTTCTGTCCATTCTGCTACTTCTGAATCGTGACAGAGGCTTAGATCTTGACTTAGTTGATCTTCTCCTCTGTTACAATGTCAGCAAAATCAGGTTAGAGGACGTATATTACCATTTTTACCCTATTGAGAAAAGATCCATCTATACGGACAAACTTAAGTCCGAGAAGGGGTGGAAGAAGGGCATTGTTGGCGTTCGGGGGCTTGGTTTGCTCCGGCTGCCAAGGACTACCCTATCCCAACCGCCTTCAGCGAATGCTCCGTGTCTTCTTATAAGAAATTCAAAACCCATAAGATAGACTGACCTTGTGAAACTTGCATTCCTCGCTTCTGTTCGTTTCTTTTCAATTCTTTGGATATCCCGCAGGATAACGAACTTAGTTATAACATTTACAGGGATAGGTTTAATTATCTGAAGGACTACGTTCTGAATGACATCCCTTCCTATTCAGAACTCCTCACGTCCGAGAATTTAAGTGATATCTCACTCCTCGGCACCACAATGAGTCAGCTTCGGATTCCATCCTTTAGCAGGAGGAAGGATCCTCCCTGGGTCACCGCTGCTTCCGCAGCTTCTTCTTCCCCAGCCTTAGCATCTTCATCTACCACCACTTCCAGCACTACTCCGAATGTGGTGATTGTTCGTCCGATCGTCACCACTCCACCTGTCAACCCAAACACTATCCCTCAAGTTCGGAGTACCTCTGCCCCCACTGCATCAGCTCAAGATAAAAAGCAAGGAAAAAGGCCTCAGCCTGAAAGCGAAGGCAGCCCCGATGAAGTTCCTCTAGCAAGAAGGATTCGAACTTTCGGGCCGGGCTTGCCTATCCTCCTCAGGTCAGACCAACTGCTCCTTCCAGGTCCGGCACTGCCACCGGTTCCCCCTCTGGAGAAGCTCCGTGGACCCCCAGATTTGTCCGAGCTGATGGCTCGGTAGTGAAGCCAAGCGACACCATATTCAAAGAAGGCCCAACAACCATGGCCTATTACAAGAACATGTGGTCTCCCAAAGACATTGAGGTTGCCAAATCTCTGTCTCAAAAGGAGGTCTTCAGCCGCTTTCCTCTGGTGGCTATGGAGGTAATTCCCTACCCTCCTCCTTATCGCATTTAAAAATGTCGTCATATTATATTTCCTCTGGACATACGTTCGGCTTAATTAGTACTCTTGTATTCTTTTGCAGACTCTGTTTGGCATGATGGCCATGCAGAAGCATGTTGAGGCTGCCAACGCTAAGGCGCCCAAGTTCGCCAATAACCTTGACGCAGCCACCAAAGAAAATAATATTATTGGTGCCAAAAATGCTGAATTAATGGTGTAACTAAACAAGGTTGAAAAGGAAAGGGATAGTCTGAAAAAGGAAGTAGACTCCCTTCAAGATGAGAAGGATGCCCTTCAGATTGAAAAGAGCATCTGGCAGACCGAGCGCGAAGTGCTTAAGGCCAAATTAGACAATCTTCAGTGCCTGCTTCATGACGAATAAGCAGAGCGAATAGCCTTTGAGAAGAGGGCTCTGGATGAACGTAATGCCCTGCTCAGCGTCATCAGCAAGGTCAATGGAGGGATGATGGCTTTGCATAGTTGTTTCTCCTGCATTGGGGCCCTCAGGTATGCTGAGGGATACTGAGAGGGTTTCAACAATCGCCTTCCTGCTGAGGGTCAAACCATTTCTGGCACAGGCACAGATGATGTTGATAAGGAGCTGGAAATGGACCCCCAGGAGTCTATGCTCATCCAGACCCCACTCCTGCCGAACACACCTTTGAAGAGTGTGAGGGGATCGCCTCATCCGGAGTCATCCCTGTCCCTCCTCCTACTCAGACTTTAGGCATTCCTCCTCTCTCCACTGTAGTTCCCCTTATGTCTGCTACTGAGAGCGAAACTCAGTAGAATGAAATGGTGATCCAGCTTTACTCCCCCCCTCACAGAGATGCCGTGACCAATGATAGGGAAGAGAATGCTAATAGTCGTGACGAGGGTACCGAGGGTGAGCAGGTGAACAAGGAGACAAGCAAAACTTGATTGTACCCATCTTCTTATAATATTCTTTGTAATCTTCTATTTATCATGAATGAAAAGGATAATTTTTTACTACATCCGATCTCGATCTTTGTATCATTTGGTAGTAATTGTTGTCTCTTTTTTATAAAAAAAAACAAGTGAGCGACCTTCGGCTAATAGTACTAACCACTGCTTACTTTGCTAAGGTGTCTGGCACTCGGCTAGAATGCCATTTGCCACATGGCTATGGCTTTTCATTATTTTTAACAAGTGTTTGGCGTTCGGCTCGTAGCACCAGTTGCCACTCACTTTGCTCAAGTGCCTAGCGCTCAGCTAGAATGCCACCTGCCACTTGGCTTTTCATTATTTTTAGCAAGTGTTTGGCATTCGGCTCGTAGTGCCAGTTGCCATTTACTTTGCTCAAATGCCTGGCGCTCGGCTATAATGCTACTTGGCTTTTCATTATTTTTAGCAAGTGTTTGGCGTTCGGCACGTAGTGCCAGTTGCCACTTACTTTGCTCAAGTGCCTGGCGCTCGACTAGAATTCCACTTGCCACTTGGCTTTTCATTATTTTTAGCAAGTAATTGGCGTTCGGCTCGTAGTGTTAGTTGTCGCTTACTTTGCTTAAGTGCCTCGCGCTTGGCTAGAATGCCACATGCCACTTGGCTTTTCATTATTTTTAGCAAGTGTTTGGCATTCGACTCGTAGTGCCAGTTGCCACTTACTTTGCTCAAGTGCCTGGTGCTTGGCTAGGATGCCACTTGCCACTTGGCTTTTCATTATTTTTAGCAAGTGTTTGGCGTTCGGCTCGTAGTGCCAGTTACCACTTACTTTGCTCAAGTGTCTGGTGCTCGGTTAGAATGCCACTTGCCACTTGTTTTTCATTATTTTTAGCGAGTGTTTGGCGTTTGGCTTGTAATGCCAGTTGCCACTTTGCTTATACTCAGTCATTTTATTAGAAGAAAATAATACTCTCTATAAATTTTTTGAAGTTTTTCCCTCTGAAACTCAATTTTCGTTGATAATACCTTTTTAAAAATGTGGCGTTCTAGGCATGTTTACCAGCCTCCCAGCCATGGTCTCCAAGATGTATGCCCCCTTTCCTATTACCTCTGGAACTCTATACGGTCCTTCCCAAGGTGACACCATTTTCTTGATAATACCAACTTTTCTTTTCAAAACCAAATCACCAGGTGCAAAGCCTCTCTGCCTCACCTTTCTGTTGTGACTGTTCATGAGCATCTGCTGATATGATGCAAGCCTTATTGCTGTAGCATTCCTCTTTTCTTCAAGCAAGTTGAGGTTGAATTTCAACATATGATCATTCTACTCCTGAATCCACGCTAAGCTCCGAACGGTGGGAACTTGGTGCTCTACCGGTATTACTACCTCAGTACCATATGCCATGGCGAATGGGCTCTCTCCGGTCGGTCGCCTTGGAGTTCGTTCTATACGCCCACAGGACATTCGGGAGTTCATCTAACCACTTTCCTTTTTCTTCGTCAAGCTTCTTCTTTATGCAAGGGAAGATCGTTCTGTTTATGATCTCAGCTTGATCATTGGCCTGTGGATGGCTGACCGCTGCTAACTTCTGATTGATTCCATAGTCTTCCAGCAACTCCCTCACCTGCTTGCTATCAAGGTTAGTCCCATTGTCCATGATGATCGACCTCGGCACACCAAATTGACAGATGATATTATTCCAAATAAAGCGTCTTACATGGGTCTGAGTCACACTGGGATATGGTTCTGCCTCCACCCATTTGGTAAAGTAGTCTGTTGCAAGCAGGACGTACTTATTTTGTGATCTGGCAGTCAGTAACGGGCCAACCACATCCATCCCCCATTGCGCGAAAGGCCATGGTTTGGCCATTACGTGCAAATCTTCTGGTGGTTAGTAGATCAGTGGTCCGAACCTTTGACACTTATCTCTCACCTTCTCAAAAATTCCTCTGCGTCTCGTGCCATGTTCGGCCAAAAATACCCCTGTGTCATCGCTTTGTGTGCTAGAGACCTTCCCCCGAATGATTACCACAAACCCCTTCATGGATAGTCCGCAGTATCTGCTGAGCCTCTGCAGGGGTTACACACTTTAAGTAAGGTCCTAAATAAGACCTCCTGTATAGTTGGTTGTATACTGTGGCATATTTTATAGCATTTGATCTGATCCTTCTTACTTTATCCCTCTGTTCGGGCAAAACACCATCTCGTATATACGCAATAATTGGATCTATCCAGCTTGGCTCATATGGTATGACATTCATCTGCCAGGGATCCGAGCTTGACGGTTCCTGCAGGATAGATGGCTGGCATAGCACACCAATTGGAATCACCCTTGCCAATGTTCCACCTGAGCTTGACGCACTGCAGGCCAACCGATCGGCATCTTCGTTATGCTCGCTCGGCAATGGAATGAACTTAATCTGATCAAAACTTCTGGCCTTATGCATAACGGCGGAACGGTATGCCTCCATTGTCTCATCCTTTGTTCTATATTCCCCAGTCACTTGCCGAATGATTAACTGTGAATCACTGAAGGCGACTAAGCTTTTGACTCTTAGCTCCTTGGCCAACCTTAACCCAGTCAGTAGCGCTTCATACTCTGCTTCATTGTTGGTTGCTCTGAACTCAAGCCTGATCGCTTGGCTCAGCGTAGTGCCTTCTGGTGTTTGTAACTTGACCCCAATTCCTACCCCAATCTGATTTGAGGATCTGTCAATGAAGAGCTTCCATGAAGATTCTTCAAGACATTCATCTGGCTCATCCATATCACACTCCAGTAAGAAATCGTCCACAGCTTGCCCTTTAATGGCCGTTCGGGGTTCATACGTTATGTCAAAAGAACTAAGTTCTATTGCCCACTTCGTCATTCGTCCGGACAAATCAGGCTTATGCAGGATCACCCTTATAGGAAATGTGGTCAGAAAGACTATAGGATGGGACTCGAAGTAATGCCTGAGCTTCCTCTTTGCATTTACCAAGGATAAGATTACTCGTTCAACCTTTGAATACTTTCTTTCTGGCTCGATCAACGTTTTGCTTACATAGAAAACTGGGAACTGCTTACCCTCGGCACATCGTATCAGCACACCACTGGTTGCAATGTTAGAAACTCCAAGGTACAAGAAAAGCTTTTCGGCTGGCTCTGGGGCATTCAAGACTGGTGGGTTCCGCATATATTCTTTCAACTTGACCAGCGCTTACCTTTGTTCATCCCCCCAGGACTGTTTTCCGTGACCCCTGATTGTATCGAAGAATGGCTTGCATCGGTCGGATAACTTAGAGATGAATCGACTCAGTGCCGCTATGCGTCCGGTGAGAACTTAGACTTCTTTGACAGTGCTTGGTTCAGCATTTTTTAGCAAAGCTTCCGATTGGGCTGGGCTGACCTCAATCCCTCTGTTGTTAACCACATGGCCAAGGAATTGCCTGGATCCTACGCCGAACGAGCATTTAGTTGGATTCAGCCTCATTCCATACTTTCTTAGTACATTGAACACCTCCTGTAAATGCTTCAAGTGATGGTCCTTCTGTTTGCTTTTTATCACCATGTCGTCGATGTAAGCCTCCACTGTCTTGCCCATTTGATCCTTAAAAATCTTGCTAACCAACCTTTGGTACGTAGCTCCAACATTTTTCAGTCCGAACGACATGACCTTGTAGCAATAGATCCCTCGTTCAGTGACAAAAGAGGTCTTTTCCTCATCGCTTGGGTCCATTGGGATTTGATTGTAGCCTGAATAAGCATCTAGAAAGGTCAACAGCTCATACCCAGTTGTTGCGTCCACCATTTGATCAATCTTTGGAAGTGGAAAACTATCCTTCGGGCAGGCTTTGTTCAGATTGGTGAAATCAATGCAAACTCTCTATTTTCCATTCTTCTTTTGCACTACAACCACGTTCGACAACCAAACCGAGTATTGTACTTCTCTGATAAATCCAGCCTCTAACAATCGATTAACTTCGTCTGCAATGATCTGGTTGCACTCGGGGGCGAACCTTCTCTATTTTTACATCACTGGCTTGACGCTCGGATCTACATTAAGGGAATGGCAAGAGACTGAGGGGTCGATCCCCAGTATGTCCAGATGGCTCCAAGTGAATACATTTACGTTCTGGGAAAGGAAATCAATCAACTGACGTTTTTCTTCCTCAGCAAGCCCTGAACCTACCTTTGTGGTTCAATCTAGCCTCAAATGATTAATCTGAACTTCAACTAAGGGTTCCTTAGTTTGCACCGGAGGCTCCTCCTCCCCGTTCGTGCCGGGGGGAGGTTTCTTTAATTGCTATTGTGTGCTAGCAGAGCGGATGGGAGCTTTTTCCTTCCCTGCGGCTTTCAGAGTCACTGAGGAACATCCCTTTGCGGCAACCTGATCCCCATAGATGTGAATCACCTTGCTCCCATCCGAACTTAGGCATCTCATCACTTGGTGTAGGGTCGATGGGACTCCCTGTACCCTATGAATCCACCTTTTCCCTATCAACAGATTGTAAGAGGGATGGATCTCCACCACCACAAAGCTCTCGATAAGCTCCCTTTCAGCTGCCCGGACAAGCAATTCTACTGTGCCGATCGGTTCAACTCATTTTCCATCAAATCCCAATAACGGATTCCCAGTATATTTGAGCTCCTCTGGCTTGATTTCCAGCCCATTGAAAGTGACTTTAGGCATGATATTGGCACTGCTCCCTGGATCAATTAGCACTCTTCGTACCAAACACTCAGTCACTGTCAAACTAACGACCAGGGGATCTTCATGAGGAATCTGAACTCACATCAAATATGTTTGATCGCATCTTATCTGCGTTGATTTGCTCTGCTGGTACAGAGTGTTGACACTGCCTATTCTCCTCTTTATTTGTGCATGGCGAAGACATGTTCGGATCACTTCTTCAAATTCTTCGGCTCGTTCAGGTCGACCATGAATTGCATTTATAATCCAAACGGGCTAAGTGTCATGGTGGTTCAGCTTTTGATTTCTCTTGACTTACTCAATTGGTCGATTCTACTCTTGGGCTAGTCCTTGAACATATCCTGCAAACTCTCCCCTGGCGATCAGCATTTCCACTTGCCTCCTTAAGTTCCTGCATTCGTTAGTCTGATGACCAAAATCACTATAAAAAGCACAATGTTTAGACTGATCCCTCTGTTCGAGAGGTTGTCTAATTGGCAAGGGAGGACGAAACTTATCTTTGTTTTCTTGGTATAGCCTTGCCAGCATAACTTTGAGTGGAGTAATCAAATCATCCTCCCTGGGCCTCTTCTCTGCCTTCCAGGAGGTCTGACGTTGCAGCGGAGCTTGTTTCTGCCGTATCTTAGCTTTGGACTTTTCTTCAATGGAGATGATAGATGTCTTCCTAGCATTAGTTGCTTCTTCTTCTTCCAAACGCACGAAACCATCAACTCTCTCATTCAGCTCGTCCATTGTCTTCGGCGTGTTCACCACCAAACTTGTATGAAATGGTGTTCCCCGGGTTATCACTAACTTGAATGCTTGAACTGCTGTGGAAGGATGGCACCCTATCACTATGTTCTTGGTTAGGTTGAACCTGGTAAGAAAGGCTTGGAGACGCTCATCGTCATGCTGCTTCATGGTGAACAGACTAGAGATATCTTTTGCCGGGCGCTTATTCCCATTGTACTGGCTTATGAACCGATCACACAGACTACGGAAACTGTCCACTGAGCCCTTCAGCAGGTTCTTAAACCAGTTGAGCACCGATCCAGCTAAGCTTGTAGGAAAACATTTACACATCAAGGTATCATTCTCGTGTTTAGTGTCATCTTCAACTGAATGTGATATACATGATCAATCGGATCGGTCGTTCCGTCAAACAGAATGAAAACAGGCATGGAAAACTTCCTCGGGCTCGAAGCATTCAAGATCTCGTCCGTGCTGCCAAACGGAGGGCCTCATTCTCTCTTTCAAACCTTGTGACGATTCTTTGATCTGTAGGTTTTCTTTCCGAACCCCTATAATCATATGTGGCCATTGAAGGCCGATAAGGTGGATCGAACGACCTTTCCTCGGTGAACTCTTTCTGCCACTGTGAGTTGATCTTGTGACAATCAAATTCCATATCCTATTCGCGATTGTACCTTTCCTGATGCAGATTAAAAGTTGTAGTTTCTTCCCGCCTGATCTACTCACGATGCGGATCGAGATGTATAGATCTTTCTCGATCCTCAATTCAATGAGCATTTGGCGGTAAATTCTCCATCCTGACCTCCTCGTGATGGAGATCGATGTGGTTATCTCCCTCTTGCTCACCTTGATGTGCTTCATCAGGCCACACGTCTCTTTCGTCCATTGGAGGCGGTCGCGGCGCAACCGGAACCTCTCAGTGCTACATTCCAGCTCTCAACTCTGCATTTTCTTTTCTCAGAGCCTCGATCATGTTCATCGGTTTATCAAGCTTCATCTGTTGGCCATTCTCCACTGGATTTGAACTCTCTCCTCCGATCATCATTCCAGATCGTAGCAAAGTCATTAACCGCAAATTTCTGATTAGATCTGAACTTCACCAATGCGGACGCTCTAGATCTAGATTCTAGCTTAGCTGAATTTCGATCGTGATTGTCTGGATCTGAGTTGCTCCGGCAACGAACTTGCCAATTTTAGCAATCTCAGCAAATCTCGACCGCACAAATCAGAGCTGCATAGATCAAACACCAACCTCTCAAAATCAACTGTATTCGAGATTTAGCCAGACAGATCACGATTTCACCGATCTTAATTCTGCCTTTAACGATCAAGCTTCGTCTTCACGAACTACACTGGATCGAATCAATCTAAATCAAACATCAAAAAATCTTCATCGTTTCCCACAGACGGCGCCATTGAAGATGCAATAATTTTCTCTCTCTAAACTGACAGAGTTTCATTACACTTCAAAAATTTCGATCCCCCTCTCCTTTACTTTCTGCATATTTATAGATCGTTTACTGTGTTCTAGAAGATTTCTAACTAACTTTCTCCATTGGGCTTGTCCTCCAGGCTTTTATAACCATGGGCCCGATCACCTTTAAGGGCCTCCAACTTCACTCTTCAGCATTGAGCTTGCCTGATGACAACTTGATTCGGGCCCAAGTCATTTACCAGGCCCATTCTTCATCATGTGGGTTGGATCCGGCCCATGCCGCCTTTGGTATCCTCAGATTGATATAAGAGCAGTGATACTCACACCGAACACTTGCAGTAAATTAACTAACAAAATAAATTTTAATTGGCTATATATATCAAATACAACTAAATGGAGGGCTTCACTTTCTTATTTATTGCATAATTAACCAATTAAAAGAGTAAGTCCTCCACTTTCTTATTAATTTGTTGCATAACTGACCAATTAAAAGAGTTTGTCTACCAATTCACTGTAACTATTCTGTGTAATAATCATTTACCAGAGACTTCCTGGAAATTACTGTATATTATGTTTTGATATCAAGAATGGAGCTTCCTGGAAATTAATATCAAGAATGGAGTTGGAGCCGATGCTTAGTATAAAAGTCAATGTCAAGGCTCATCCTTTCACACACACACACGAGGAAATTACTGTATATTCTGCTTTGATATCAAGAATCGAGCTTACTGTATATTCGGCTTTGGTTGATGTAATAGATACTTCCTGGAACTTACTGTATTTTTGGCTTTGATTGATATAATAGAGACTTCCTGGAACTTACAGTGTATTCTGCTTTGATATCAAGAATGGAGCTTCCTGGAAATACAAGGTTGGAGACAACGCTTAGTATAAAAGGCAATGTGAAGACTCATTCTCATACACACGCGAGGAAATTTCCCACAACATGCAATGAAAGAAATTGTGTATTATTAATTGGGATCATCCCCAGTGAATCTTGTGTCGAAAATGAATAAAAAATCATTAGAGGAAGTGATTTTTGGAGCTGCCTCTGTCACAGTTATTGCTCTGCTTCCACTACTGCCGGCCATATCAGAAAATAGGAGGCAACCCAGTGCCAACCATCATCTTAAACGAGAACCCTTCCTCCTTCACTGCATTCGTTAAAGATGATGGCTGGCACTTAGTTGCCACCTATTTGGTCTCTCCCTCCCTCGATTATATGTATGTTGCCTTTATAAATCGTTTGATGTAGTAGTACCTGCATGTTACAATTTGCTGTTTCTCTAGTTATGATGTAGCATGCTTCTTTTTG